CAGCCTTACCTCTCCTCCCAGGGTTAGCCTATATCCAGGGAGTGGTTTATGCGAAGGCACAAAGACTTACTTTGGGGCTACTCTGCGAGGTCATCCCAGTCCCAGGGCTCCCTGTGGATCAGCTGAGGTCTCTCTCACAGCTGCGCTGCAGTTCACATTTTTCTTTCACTCCATCCACCTCCTTCACTTTCCTACAACTGTTGTTGCCAAGTAAGCCTTTTACATACAAATAGTACCTCGGTCATGTGGGACCCTAACTTTGGACAGCGCTAGGGAAGGTCTTAGGAAGCTCACATCAACTCCCTGCTAAAATGGCAAATGTAAAACAGTATTACTCAATTGCTTTCTAGATCGTATAGTGTTTAAATATTTTTTTAGGTGACATAATATAGGTACTTATTTATGGTGCATAGTATTACAATTTAGTTCATAAATCTGATGTGTAATGATCAGATCAGGGTCACTGGCAGTTTTATCTCCTCAAATATCATTTTTATGTGATGGGAACCTCCCAACTCTTCCGTCTTTATTTATTTATTAATTGATTTATTGTGCACTGAACATGCTGCTTTATTGCTTAAAATATGTCTATACACACAGGTGCAGAGTTTCCAACAGCTTTTTACATCACAGAATAAAATTTCTTCAAAATTCCTAAGATGCATAGATTAAACAGTGAGCTGCCTTCTGTAATACTCCAAACATAGCCAAATTGTAACATTTTTCTATCCCAATTATGCAATGGAGGATAGTAGAACAGCAAGTAAACACAATAACTCCTGTACTTAAAGACAGTAAATAAACTATTATAAAAGGTACCGTAACATTCTTGTCTTTTTAATTATAGGAGATGCGTGGCTTTAAGGTTAGTACCAAAACTAATATAGTTGTTGAAAGACTTATGAAAACAGATGAATAAGACATGTTCTTACTCATTTGTGGTGGCCAATTATGGACTGAAACCTCTACCAACTGTGGGCTGAATAAACCTCTTCCCCTTTAACTTTGGTTGTCAGGTATTCTGTCTTTCTGAAGTTTCTATTCTGTTCCATTGGTCCACGTGTTTGCTTTTATGTTAGTGCCACATTATTTTGATTAGTACATCTTTGCAGTGTTTTAAAGTCTGATATTATGGTATCTCCAACTAATCTTTTTTCCTCAGGATTTCTTTTGTAATACTAGGTCTTTTATGACCCAGTGTAAATGCTGTAACTGTCTTTTTTTTTTTTTTTTTTTTCTCGGTACCGGGAATTGAACTCAGGACCTTGCACTTGCCAAGCAGGTGCTTGTGCCACTGAGCTAAATCCCCAGCCCCTGTAACGGTTTTTTCCTAGCTCTGTGAGAAACGTCTTTAGTATACTGATAAGGTTGCATTAAATCTGCAGATCTCTTTGAATAGTGTACACATTTTAACAATATTAATTCTTGCAATCTGTGGGCATATGTTCTCTATAATTTCTTTAATTGCTTTATATTGTTCATTATAGAAAATTTCACTTGGTTAAAATAATTTGTGGTATTTGTGTGTGGGATTTTTAAAAATTTCTTTTTCAACTAATTTGTTATTGGTATATAAAAGTGCTACTGCTTTTTTGTATGTTGATTTTGTATCTTGCAACTTTACAGAAATCATTTATAAGTTCCAGCAGTTCTTTTTAGTAGAGTCTAGGTTTTTCTGCATGTAAGATGAATGGCCACTGTCATTTTTATTTTTGGTTATTCAGTATGTTTTTTCTCTAGAAATCTATGAGACTTTTTTCCTCTTATTGCTGTTTTTTAGCAACATGATTGTATGTGCTGCAGTGTGGATTTTTGCTTTTTGCCTGATGTTTCTTTAGTTTCTGTAGGCTTATGTTCTTCTGCACGTTCAGTTACTATTTTTGGCCAGTAATTTTGTGTCCTTTTTATTTTCTTTTCCAGCCTGCAATTGCACTTTATATTTTCACACAGCATACAGAACTGTTTTTTTCCTATACTTTAAATAGTTCCTATTGATGTTTTCAAATTCTTAGATCTTTTCTTCTGCTATATCTAATTTGCTCCTAATCTCATTCCATGTATTTTTCATATTGCATTTCTCATCTTAGGATATTGTATTTTTTATATCTCCCGTTTCTATCATGATATTCCCAATTTTTTTTATCTCAGAGTATTTATAATTCTTACACCTCTTTAAAATTTTCTGTTAATTCTAGTCCCTAATTTCTAGGTACATTTGTTTTGATTAATTATTCTTGTTTCTTTGCATGGATGATAACTTTTGATTGGATACCCATCAGTTACGCTTTTTACATTGTTGAATGCTGGGTTTTGTTCTTTTTTTCTGAGTGTTGACCTTCTTTCTGGCACAGAAGTTACCTGCATATCAATTAGGACATTTTGAGGCTTGCTTTTAAGATATCAAGGTGAATGCATAACTTTTGTTCTAGAGTAAATCTGTCCCTGCATAGCACAGTCCTGCTGAGAATGCCACCCAGTGTCCCATGGATTACCAGCTCCCTCCATTGTGCCTGGTGAGGATATAAATTCTTTTCAGCTCTGTGAGGTCCAGAATTGTTTGGCTTGCTGGTTTCCAAACAGTCTTTCCTCAGTTTCATTAATTACTACTCTCCTTTACTCCATGCAAATTAATATTAACTCCGCCCTAAAATCCTCTAGGAGTATTTACTGTAGATCTCTGGAGCTTGCTTTGCTGTTGTAGCACTCTAGTGACCTTGCGTGCAGTCATCTTGAGCTCTTTAAATGCAGCAAGACCATGGAGCTTTATTTTGGTTCCTCTGCCTGACACCTTTCTCTAGGCAGTAACCTGGGACAATCATAGGTTTATTTCTCGTTTTTCTTTTCTTAGACTCATAGCCTGCATCATAGTAGTTCAGTGCTGAAAATAGTTGCTCTGTATATCTTGTTTGGTTTTCTAGTTACTTAAGGCAGTGCAGAGAGTTCAAAGTTCAACCAAAACATGTCAAGGTAGGTGGAGGTAAAGCTTTTTATGAGCAAAGGTCACCTTGTATTACAAATGGTGTATTTCCTCAGTATTCATTTGGAAAAGTTTTAGGAAAAGAATAGCTAAAATGTAATTCTTTTTCAGTTTTGAGAAAAAACTTTCTTAGCAAAGGTTAATAAAACATTCAAAGTTGCTTTTCTTTACGTAGAGCTGTTAGATATTTTTTGTTGCTTGACTTTATTCCAATTTAATATAAAAATGAGCTACCCTTTATCTCTCCCAGAGATGCTTCAATAATAGCAACCGCACTCTTTAGCTTCCAAATCAAAGGGTGGTATTATCTGTTGATGACACAGATTACCAGGATATAAAATGTCAGAACTTTCATCCCACCAATTGAGGTAAAAAATACGACTGATGGGATAGGAAAGATGAAAACTAGCACAGAAGTTTTAATCAGCAGAGATCTTGAGCTCAATACAAGGCAAGACGAGCTTAAGAAGTGAGCATGGACTTCTAAATGGAGATTTCAATATTGCTATAGTTTGGGTCTTCAATGCTCCGTGGATGGCTGGGGGCACCTGGTGGGAGGTCTTTGGGTAGCTGGAAGTGTGCCTTGAAGGGACAGTGGATGTTGTCCTGTCTTCTCATTGTCTCTGGCAATGAAGTGAATGGCTCTGTCTCCCCTGGCTCCGCCGTAACACACTGTTTCCCAGGGGCCCAGAAACACGGGGCCCATCCGTGATGGCCTGAAAAGTCTGGAACGAGTCCAAGCAGACATTTCTCCTTTGTAAGCTGGTTGTGTCAGCTGTTTATAATAACACAAAGCTGACCAGTGCAAATATATTTACTGCCTTTGCTACAGTAACAACCTGGTTATGTAGACGATTACTCACGTTTTATGGATGGGCAAACTCAGCTGGTTTCCCTGACGGAAGGGTAGTCAGTTGGCAATAACATGTACTTTCCGTTACTAAGAAAGTAACTGAGCCATGTGGGGGGACTGGCTCACTACAGGGCAGCGATTAGCACAGGCACTGGAGGGAACGTGGCGCTCCCGGCCCACCTTCCATTCTGAGTGAGGGTCTGCCGCGTAGCCCAAGTTGGCCTTCAACTGTTGATCCTCCTGCCCCAGCCTCCCAAGTGCTGGGGTTACAGGTCTGTGGCACCACTTCCAGCGTTTTCTCTTCAAATGTGCAATATGCTACCCACCTCCACTTTACACTCGGAAGCTTGTCTTTCAGTCTTTATCCTTAGAAAGCAAAAGCAATGAGAAGAGAACTTCTGCCTGGAACTAAGAGCAAATCTAATAACCAACCACCTGTATCTGAAGGGAAAGACTGGAATGTGTCTCCAGTACAGGCTGGGCCTGCTACTGTATGCTGGATCCCACATGCTTTTACTGACTCAAGGATACTGCTTCTAACATACCCCATCCTTTCCTTCCTCGCCAAATACTCCTGCTCTACTAGATCAAAACACTTCCACCAGTGTGTGCAATTGGAAGCTTTGTCTCATCACTAAAAAAATACCACCAACTGTTCAGTTTTCTTTTGGTTCATGTCTGCACCAGAGGGGAATATTCTTGATAATCTCTTTGTGTTATACTTCTAGGTGGTTCTAGTAGTAATAGCCAGTAATTTATAGAGTGCGTATTCTATGATGGACACTCTGCTAAATGCTTTGCATGCATTACCTTATTTAATCTTCACAATAATCCTCGGGGAAGTGCTATTATCTTCATTTTACAGATAAAAAATTCAGGCAGATTTCATGTTACTAAAGTTTTGGACCATGTATTTCTAATCTCAACTGCAAGTATACTCATGTAAATGAAAATTTACTATTTTTATATTTAAATAATAAAAAAGCAACATTAAACTGTGAAAGAATTCATGTAATTGTCATCTCAACTTTTTACATAATTCACATTATCACATAACTTTAAATAGGAAAAGTTTTATCATGCAAAGAATACTTAGAAAGGGTTCAAATTTTAATTTGGTCCAATAATTCTATAAGCAAGGGTCTGGAATAAAGGCATATTTGTCATTTGTTGTTCTCTATCCAACTTTTTAATACAAGTAATATTAAATGGAACACTGTCATTCTAGATGTCAACAGTAAATACAATTACATTGAGAATCAAGATAGTCACTAAGCAGAGTCTTACATGGGTATTTCTTTATACTTTACATACAGAAAAGGAAGACAAAGTTATTTCACATGTGTACCAAGTCTGTCACGCAGGAATCCAGGGAACTTTGTGCTAAGAGACATCTGTACTTGGCTTTTCTTTCAATGAAAAGTAAAAGTCCATGTGCCGTCAGCTTGGTAATTTCTTAAATGTTGTAAGCAGCATTCGGGGCACTGATCTCAAAGCGAACTAAATACCTGAATCACCTCCATGGATAAAGAAAGCACCAGTGCCTATATAACACCCCTAAAATACAGCACTGATTGGGATAGGCTGGCCCTGGGCTTCTAGAACTGTTTCACAGCCACTGAAGTCAGTCTTCTTCTGAGGGACTCCCCACACCTGGATTTTGGTGAATAACTGTTATGTTAAGCACCAGATGGATGCAGCCCCTTCGATTAAAAAACAAATACCTTCGGGGATATTATTTTATTCAGGCACATAACAGCTGCCAAATTTCTGAATGAACATGGTTGCCCTATATACTTCTTTTATATCTCCATCACTCTAGCAGGTTATGAACATAACATTTCAAAAGATACTTAGAGGGCAAAAAAAGAATAAAGCAGTTGGGATAATGTTTAAGGCAAAACAAAAATCTTACATAAACATTTAAAACATACATGTACATAAATAGATCGAAAGGTGGAAAAGAATATACAAAAGCGTGCAACATTTAGCAGTTGAAACTTCAATGAGCTTCCAAATATTCTTCAGTCTTACACTCAGAAGCACAGTAACCCTAAACAACTAGTTCTTCAGCTAATAGCCATAAGCACACAAGCAGATACATTTTCCTTAAAAACAGAATGATCGATTATTCTTAATGATCACAGCTTGGTTTTCAATATTCAAGTGAATAAAATTTTAGTACAATCATGATAGTTTTTCCAGATAGTTGTGGGTTAAAATATCTGGTATATTAAAATATCTGGCATCACCTACTGTTACATCCTCTCAGTTGAGACACTGGAGCTTCGTAGCAGTTCCACGACGATAAAACAACTATTTTGCCACCTCTTCATATAGTATGCTTATTTAGGGAACTTATTAATACCGGACTTCCTTTTCAGAGCTAGATTCTGAGATATGGCTTCATGTATCAAAGTTCCACAGGTATTAGATAATTTTTAATTAAATTAGTATCTTAGACTACGAAACTTTGGTTTTCTTAAAATGAGCATGGGTTGCTTGATGGTAGGTTTGTCACCAAAAAGTGCTGCTTCACTCTCTGTGGTTGGGAATCTCTTCTGATATATCAAGGGATATTCCTTCTGAAACTTCAAAATAAAAAAGAAGGTGAGGAGTGAGAAGGTATCCAACATTATTTCCCTCGCTGCAGACGGTGCTCAGCACTTCCTAGGTAATTTTCCTCGGAGACGGAGACATCTGAGGAGAGGACCTTCAGTTTACCCTTGCTTCCCCGCCCCTTCCGCACAGGCGCAGGGAGCACCGTCAGACCGCTCAGCTCCCTGTTCGCACTGGGGTCTCCTGCAGTCACCCAGGACATCTCGTTACCGCCCGGAACGCCAGATCCTCGCTCCCCTTGGGACAGCCGTGAAGGTCACAAGGATCTGGTGCAGCTTGTATTTCTCAGTGACTCAACAGAATCGCTCTTGTCAGCATCATGTGGCTACTGAGTTTTGCCTTGGAATAAAAATTTCTAGACGGCAGTGAGGAGTCACTCAAAGACATGTACTGAGTTATAATCCAGCCTGTATAATTGCTTTCCCAGGCTACTCCAAGATATAATCACACGGAACACCAGTAGCAAAGGACGGTATCCATCATTATCATTATTTTACAATTCAGGGTAGAGAGTAAGCCTGGTAGGTCTTCATATATTTTATAAGTAGCGCAATGCACACACATGCTGTGCATAATACTGTGCATAGCCTGTATATTCCAAAGTTAAAATCCAAGATATTAAAATAAGAAATTACACTGCAGGTATTACTAAGTGGGAACTACTAAGGCCTATCAGAAAGTACTGGTATGATTGAGAAGCTGCTTACTCCCTTACCTGCTTTAGTTTTCTTCTTTTCTCCTTTAGAGGTAAACTCTTGTTTTTAATGATATTCTCTAGAAGTTCTGCAATGGCGGCTTGAGAGGTAGAAATCTTCTGTTCGTCAAACTCCTGAGCACTGATCTGCTTACAGTAGGAGAAGGCTGGCAAAGGAGCAATGAGGCCGTCTCCAGGGCTTTTCATCTGCAGCGGACAAATCAGACAGCGAAAATCTGTTCATTCTGCTCACTCTCTTACTATTCTCTTCGCGAGATCAGGCACCACTATTTTGGCGGAAATAATACCTTCAGCGCATTTATAAAACCATGCATAATGCGGTAAGGTAGTCACGAGTCAGGCAGATCTAAACCCCAGCTCCACAGCTCACTGCCCGTGTAGTCTTTCGCAAGCTATTTAACTTTCCTTGGTCTGCTTCCTGTCCTCGAATCAGAAGTGATCTGAGAAAACCTATGTGCAGTGTTGATCACACAGCAGCACTCAGGAAAGGCAGCTATTATCCTCTCTCTTACCCAGGGACTTTATTCTCTTAACTATAAGACAGGGACAATTTAAGTAGTGTTTACATTCATCTTAGAACAGCAGAATTCTGACTCAGTAACAAAGCATTCATCTGCGGTTTGAGGCCCAGGCCTCTAGGCACGGGCAAAGCCCACGCATCTGCTGGTAGGAGACAGAGGCCGCAGGGCGGTTACAATCCCCATAAACCAGGACACCACCAGAACGGCATCCATCGAGAAAAGCAGACATGTGCGGCCGCAGACTGCACAGAGCAGCGACCTGTGGTTCTGGCCGCTCAGATTCCTTTTCTCCTGGTCAGTTCCTTTCCGCTCTCCGCGTCTGCCGCACCTCTTTGGAAGAAGTCCTTCCACTCTGGCCTCGTGGCAGCTGACTGGAACACGAGGCCGCTCTGTCCAACTGCCCTGCAGCCTCCCGAGGGACAGGCTGAACCTAGGCTGGGCTGCTCCGGAGTCTGTGCCACACCTTTCGAATCCAAGGTGGAGAGACAGCTCCTTCTCCTTTGGATTTCAAACCTAAGGCTGTGACACATGAACTTAGCCAAATGCCTCGTCGTGTGAAGGAACCATTTGTTAAAGCCAGGACTGAAATGGAAGGAAATGCAACACAGGAAGATGGGAACAGGGTCTTAGTGCTAAGGAGCCTCAGGTTCTGTCTCTATTCCTCACTTTTTAGACTGTTTCCAAGAGCTCACAGTGTTGTTTGGGAGCTGGTTTGAGATGCGTTTGCCACTGCAAATGAGTAATATGGAGACTTGTGAGGCTCAAAATACCTACGTGGCCCTTTTTTAAGTAGTCGAGTTGTTTGTCCACCGCAGCCTGTAAGTAAGACGGCACTTGGAGAATTTCCTGCTGATGGTCCATTAGGAAGGAAACCAATCTTGCAGCAAGCAGCTCATCCAGGTCCACTTCTTCAGCACAGCACAGCACACAGCGAGAAAAAGTGTGGATCATCTAGGGACAGCATCGAGACCCGAATTTAAACACCCAGGGTTTCAGGCAAACCGGCATATCTGCAATCTCCAGACAGCACCATGTGACGTAGTGAGATACAGCGATGAGCAGACTTCGGTTTCAAACTCAGGAGGGTAATTTATTAGTTAGGAAGATTAAGAATTCTACTATGCTTAAGTCCTTTTTCAAGTACTTTTCAGTATTTCTTTAACAGAGTTCAAAAGGATTCTGTCAGGCCTAGCATTTTAATTTTGTCAGTTTTATCAGTAAACATCACCACTTCTACTGAAACCATATGGATTCACACAGAACAAGGACTTACTCAGTAAATAAATTCCACTAAAAGCCAGAAAAGCACAACACATAGAGAACACATTCGCCAGAGGCTGTAAAGTTGGCATTGCTCACCACTGGAAACCAAGCACAAGGTTCTTCGAGGCTTATCCCATCAGTCCTTAAACAGCACTATACCATCCACATTCTTCAGCTGCGTCACAAGGATCTTTAAAACTTGGGATAAATTCTGTGTCTCACTACTCTCACTTATACCCACACAAGCAGCTAACTACACGCCCTCCGCACCTCATTCTGAAGTAACCAGAGAGTCAGAATTCTACCGTCAGCACCTTCACACAGTGGGTGCTGAGCAGACGTAGGGAATTCGGAGTGTTTTCAGCTTATTCCTATGGTCAGGCAGATCTCCCTCCTAGTTCCCAGCTCTAGCCTCAGCTTTCTGTCCTTTCTGTATGTTCCTAGCCTCACGGAACTCATTCGCTCTCACACTGTCAGCTCCCCTCAACATGTGGCTGACTCAGGAACCTGCCTTCGGCCCCGACCTTCCACTCACCAGGCTCCCGTTTCCAATATTCTGCTGGGATATATCGCACTTGGATGTCCTATACCTTCAAACCAAAGTGTATCAGAGCAAAACTGCCACCTTCCGATTCACGTTGCTCAAGGCATCTTCCCTGACAAACGTATGTGTATTAACAGTGCCGAAATTCCTCGAGGACAATTTTCCTTCTTTACGTCAGGATTGTCCTTCAACAAGGTCCATAACAGTGAGTAGAAAACTGCGGCACAGCTCCGGATCCCTCACTATTTTGTAAATGGACGCTACAGTCTCAGGAAGTGGCAGCTCTCAAAGGTGTGGGGGGCTATTTCAAGGGTTCCATTTCCTGTCGGTGTCTACATGGAAAAGGCCGTGTCCTCATTCTTCAAGGAGCCAGAGACTGCTTGGCAATACCGTGTCCTTGCCCCTTCTCCACTAAGACCTGCTACCACATTAGCTCACCAAATACAACTTTCCCGCTATGGTACCCCGGAAACATGTGACTCACTATAGGAGGATTTCCCACTAGTTTCTACTCCCACAGAGGTACAGCAGCCTGAACTTCAAACAGTACTTACATCTCTTCCCACCGGCCCACCAGACAGACTGGCGTGAGACAGGCTAACGTGGTCTGTCTGGGCCAGTCGCTATGAAGGGTACAGGATGAACGAGCAAGTCCTCTGTCAAGATGAACAGCAGGACGTGAAAATGTAATAGACTGGCACCAACACTTGCTGCTAGGGGAGATTAGACTTTTAAGCCTTCTTGACCCAAAATTTCAGAACTTGAAGATCGACACATCATTTGAGTAGTACCAGAAATGGCTCGGGTTGATTGTGGGGGCGGACGCGTGAGCTTATGCTCTCCGTAAGAAACAGACTCACCAGCGCCCTTGTCCCCAGTGCATCGTGAAGTGCGGGCAGGTCAGCGTTCTCACTCATTCGTGAAACCATGCGCATTAGGAGCTGAAGCTTCCTTCGGTTCGGTGGGGGAAGCAACAGACAGCACAGCTGCAGCGCACCGACGGCAACTCTCTCCAGATGGGGCTGCAGCAAACCTAGAAGGCACAGTGGCCCCCGGGAGCAAGTCACCAACGACAGCACTTGCTTCCATACGGCCAGCACATACAATCGCGGGACAGGGTAAAATAGTCCCTTTGCATTTCATTTCCTTTAACTATCTCTAGAATCTTCCACATTCCGCAAAACTTTAGATTTTCATCACGTTCTTTATAACCTATTTCTAAGTATTAAAATCCTTTACTTATTACAAATAAAATGACTTAGAATAAGGGAAATTAGAGGAAAGTTCAAGTGCTTTAAGGGGATAGAATAAATCTTCGCTATGTCATGGTAAGTCTTTTACGGTGATTTCTTTTGGAAGAGATAAGTAAAGCAGGCTCAGAGAAGAAAAGCCAGGTAAGCAGAATGCAGAGTTAGTAAACACTAAAAGTTAGCACTGCATGCACTGAGAGCAACAACCTTACTTTGTGTGCCAGTGAACACAGCGGAAGCTCGAGGTAAAGAGTTTGCTGAAAGCTCTACAGTACTTTTGCACAGTCTTTTATTGATGGTGATACTATCTTCCCCGAGTGCGCCTTCTACAGCTCTCTGCACACTTGTGCTGCCTTGTCCAAGGTTTGGTTTCATGATGACTTCGGCCACTGGTGTATTGACACAGCTATTCCGTCTTGAGCTACTCCTTAAAAGCAGACTCTGAGATCTGCAAAGCTGTTTGGGCTTGCAGTCCCCAGGACAAGACTCCTCTTGGTCTTCAACAGTCAGAGCAGAAGTTCTCTTAGAGCCACCACTGCAGAGTGGCTTGTGAGTCCGTTCCTCTGAATGGAGACTCAATAGGGACTCCTGTCTGGGCTTTGACCCTAGAAAGTGTTCACTATTTTGTTGTTCTGCACTGAGAACAGATTGATGGAAGGCACTGGGAACCTTTCGACGGGAATAGCCTGGCATATCCACAATTCCTTCCAAAGAAGAGCACCTCGGTTTGATGTTAGAGGACAGAACATGCAAACTACTCAAGCCTATCAGATTGTGACAGCTTCCTCCCATGACATCATGAGCTCTGACTCTTCTGCTTCTTACATTAACTAGCTGCATTTTCTTAGCACATCCTTCTTGACATCCTTGATCACTTATCTGTAGTCTCTCAGGAGCATCTGATTCCTCTTTGTTTTTGTCTCTGTGAAGCAGACTGAGAAGAAGACACTCAGTGGATTTGAAGGAATTCAAAGTGGTTAAGTGAAGGATTTTTGAAGACTGTGGATCATCTTGGATTTTATGTATCCCACTGGGTCTATCTGAAACTGTGATGTAGCCACACACAACTACCAGGAAATGAAACAAAAAGTAAGATGCAACTGTGTGACAGTGGACAGAAATAAAAAAACAACAATAAAGTTAAAAAAATAAGGCATCACTATAGTATATATTGTTAGTAAGGAGCAGTTGCTTAATTCGGAAGCCACTGAAATAGCGCACATGCACAACATGTTATAAACGTGCAAGACTAGTGGTTTTCCCATTTGTGATATAAATAACTTAAAAATTCAGCCCAATTAGATGGATTGAGTGAGAACACACTTAAAAATATCTGCTGTCATTCTACAAGTACTAGAAATAGCTTAAGTATAAGACAACTGTTATATAATAGAACATATCTAATCATCTGTAGGTACCATGGGAAATTAGCTCTGGGACCACCTATTGGTATCAAAATCCAAAAATAGAAGTCCTGTATATAAAATGGTATAAAATTTGCATATATCCCAAGCACATCCCTTCACACTTTAAATCATCTCTAGTTTCTTTATAACAATACAGTATAGTCATTATACTGTATCACTTAAGACAATAACAACTAGGAAAAAGTCTACATATTCAGGTTCAGTATAGCTGCAATTTTTTAAAAAAATGTTTTTGACCGAGTTGGTTGGATTCACAGATGTAGAAATCACAGAGCGGGTGAGCCAGATGCACGTATACTTGGTGTGTACCAGGGGAGTTCTGGGCATGGAGTTGCTAAAATCTTGGGTTTTCCTGTTATTTGAGTACACCTGAACAGATGCTAAAGCAATCTGTGGCTGGCCATGCTCAGACCGAAACTCTCAGCCCTGCCCACAGGCCCTGGGAGGGGCAGGGGACTGGAGACTACGCTGAGTCACCAAGGCCTAGGGAGCGGAACTTCAGGTGCAACCCCGAACAGCGAGGCTGAGCGAGCCGCTGGGCTGACGAACACACGGCGTGCTGCGGCGGACAGGCTCTGTGCCTCTCCTCCACGCTGCCGCGTACCCCTCTCCCTGCGGCTGTTCTTGATAACTCATCACCGCAAGTAAAGCTCCCTCCTGAATCCCATGAGCTTCTGTAGAGAACTGAGAGGGGTTTAAAGGAATCCCTAAGTTGGCAGTCGGCTGGGCAGAAGCGCAGGAACCCTGGGGACCTCGCTTACAGCTGGCACCTGGAGTAAGGACAGTCTGGTGGAATCAAACCCTCGGCCTGCGGGGTCTGGGCTCACCCTAGGGAGCTAGCGTCACAACTACACGGAAGTGTAGAACACTCAGTGGATGCTAGCGCTAATGGTGTTGGAAGGATGGATTTGAACCATTTGAAAATGACACAAACAGCAATCACAATCACTGAATTTTAACACAACGTATAGCCAGCCATTTACATATTTACCTGTATTCTAAAATCTTTTTGATTTTAGGAAAAATGAAAATGTTAATAACATTAATTTGAATAAGTTAAATGCATACATACCCAAAATGTTCACAAATAATTCATAATATTCATATGTAAGCAGAGGCTCAGGGAGATTGAGAAAATAATCAGCAATTGTTCTGAATACATCTCGCTCAAATCCAACATAAGTTGGATTACTCGTATCATTACTTCTTGGCCCTAAGAAATAGAAGGAAAAGGAAATAGGCAAAATATATTTTAACTTTACCATAATTTAAAAAGTATGCACAAAAAGTATAAAACTTGTATCTTATGAGAGAGCTGTTTAACAAATCACACTAACCAGGCAAAGGCCAGCACACTGGTCTACTTTATAATTTTAATACCCAAAATACCATGCATAAAGCAAATTTTCTAATATATTTAAAAAGTACTAGTGAAATCTATTTTAAAAAGATTTTATTACAATTGATTTTGTAAAGCAAAAAATATATGGATTATGCAAATAATTCTTTAAATTACCTTTTGTAAATTTATAATTTTATGAGGAAATTTTGCCTGACCTGAAGCATACCTTAATGAATTTAAATAATCATCACTACAATGTTTTTAAGCTTAATGTGGTTATGAAAATAATCAGGTCTTAGAAATAAGACCTGATCAAATGGTATATGTAAGAAAACGGAAGCTCAGAGTAACTTGCCATTGGTAGAAAAGTGCTTGACAGCAAAGCTAAAATTAGTACTTAGAGCAGTGGAAAGTTTTCAGGTTGAATAACATTTAAAGTGTGGTCCACACATAACATAATATTTTCAGAATTATCCAGTGTACCTATTAAATATACAAACTTCTGAACACAGACTAGACTCCATCAAGATGACCTTAGAAACTTAGCAATCTTCATGATAACAAACTGCTGGGCATAGTTTTAAAAAAAATGCTTAACCAATTACAGTCAACACACTTGGAACTTTTTGGAGAGCCTCCCTTGTGACTGCAGTGTATTTCCATTTTAGAGTCACTAAACTCTGTCAAGTTAAAATCTTTCTTCCTAAAGCCAAATAATCTATCTCCAACCTTTTGTACGGCTGTAAAAGTCTAAGACCATAGACTGAAAAAGGATTAAGAAATAATAATCTCTGTCATTCTCTGTCTCTGCCTCTCTCTCTCTGTGTCTCTCTCTCTCTCTCACACACACACACACACACACACACACACACACACACAAAAGGCTAATATGAATTTTATGTAAAGCACATAGTTTTCTAAGGAGGATATAAAAATATTCTCAATACACAGAATAAAGTACATAGTAATCATTACAAAGTTTTCTAAGTCACAATAAACATGTCTAGTGGAAACAGAATTAGAGAATTTAGGCTTGAGCTCTGGCTCCAGTGCGTTAACAGAAGACTAAGTCGTGGTTTTTCTCTTCTGGAAAAAAACAAAAACAAGGATAGCACACTGATTACGATTCCTGCATCTCACAGTACTCCTATGGGGAATTAAGTAAGAAAGCAAAAATCTTAATGGTGCCTCTGGGTGAAATACGGCAAGTTATACATTTGTCAGCACTTGTGAAGAGAAGGGAAGACACGCACCCTAAAGATAGACGTCGGGAAACCCCGATTAGTATGCTTATCTGAATTGTTAGTCACCAGCCAAGGAGTGAGAGACGGGCAGTTAGGGAAGGAGTATGAGACATTTGAGTCTTACGCTTACGGTCAGGATCTTTATTTTAAACTTATACCAACTTTTGGTAACTTCATTACTCCTTATTCTGTTAGTCTGTCATGCTGACACTCAGTGGACAATAAGGGAATAAATATCCTGAACCTTAATAAAACCCCATTAGTATATTTGAAAATATGAATTTTAAAAGAACTAGAAAATTTTATCTCCCACTAAAATTATTATAATATAGTCTAACTTTTAATAATTTAGAAACATATACATGTGCAAACTTTTAAAATTCATTTTGAAAGAAATTAGAATTTTATCCTTGAACCAGTGAAAAATCAATTTTTACTGATCACTGTGAGAAAGCTTGAGGAATGAAGTGCTCAGCAATGGCTTGGGGATTAGTGACAGGTCACTGCTTCTCTTCATAAAGGTCCCGTACACGTATGCTGAGAGCAGAAGGGGTTTTAAAGCACAGGGAGGCTGGCGCTACGTACGATAGCAAGAGGCTGACATGCGCTTCAGGATGCTTGATTCCCGTGGAGCCTTCCCTGCTTCCAAGCTAGTTCACCTCCCAGCTGCCACGTGGTATTGCTGGGCCTCACAGAGGCCATTCTTAGACTAAATGTCTCCTAAAACTGTCTAGCCTATGGCTTTATGATTAGAGAACAGTATTTTTTTTTTTTTTTGGTTTTTCTCCGGTACCGGGAACCGAACTCACGACCTTGCGCTTGCCAGGCAGGCGCTTTTGCTGCTGAGCTAAATCCCCAGCCCGGCTTTATGATTTATGTCAACTAAGGCATAAAGGATAGGCCTGAATTATAAAATCACTTGTATAAAAAAAAAAACCTGAGGGCTCCATTGTAATTGATTCTACTAGACTATCACTTAAACATCAAGAGAAATAATACACTTAAATTTTATCAGGACTTTTACTTATAAACGATTTTAAAAATTTGCTTTACTTACAATTTGCTAGGCACTTCATGGCAGATAATACCCAGTGAGGAAGGTCATCTACATAGAAAAAGAACTGTTGAGTAAGTCACAGAATTTTTATGATATTGTATTTTAAAACTTTGCAATTACATGTAATTATGCATGTATATATACATATGTGTATATATATTACCAGTATTAAGTTATTACATGTTTAACAGAACAGGGTCAGGTTTGCATTTTAAAACACAAAAAGCCTGAAAAAGAGATCTTGACTTTGACTCAGTCCACAACACAGAAAACAAGTAGTTATCCGTAGATATAGGATTACTTATTTTGGAGGAATGTCCAGATAATGAATCCCTAACATTTGTCTTTACACCACGGTCTTCTGTTTGCTCTCATTTTGCTTCTGTCCACTGCTCTGCTACTTGAGTACTACAGACCTGGGTAATGAACATCTATAATGAAGTCACCTAGAGCTTAGTATCCAGGGAGGCTGGCGTAAAAGTCTTTCAACTGCTACCACTTGAGTCTTGCTCACCATAATACTTAGCACATACTAAGCCCTCAGCACAAATGTTAACAACCAATAATTTTTATTATGTTTGTATGCTTTTGAAATTTTTAATTTTGCCATTAAAAATACACGAATCCATTCTAGTACCTAAATAATTTCATATAACAGCATGAATATTTACTTAAAATTATTCCACAGTTACTACTTAAGGCATCTATGATGATGGAACAGTGGACCCTCTGACACTTCCTCGATGAAGATAACCTACTTTCTTGTTAGGTCTTTCTTCTCTCCACTATGCCCATAACCTCTGTTTCTACTACTTCTCAGTCTCCTCTATTAATACCAACCTGATTTGTCTTGTAGTATAACTACTCCCCGCTTACTGGTGTTGGCCATGTTGTACATTATATACTGAGGAATTACTTGGTTTGGATTTATGAGTTCTTCCAGGGATGGCACACATAAAATGGTTTGCAGGCTGAAAAGAAGAGTAGAACCTTTTTCTCCACAAAATAAGAATAGAGTGCAAATATGAGGATGACTAGCAAACAAAGAATATCCTTTAGAATTTTTTTTTTAATCAGAATATTTTTTTCAATCAAACTTTCTAGGCTTCTGTTTAGTAATCATTTTCCAATGTATTAATCTCAATAACATTCAAAGGCTCTAATACAGACTCCAAATTATAGCCATGACTTTAATTCAAAGAAAAAGCAAATCATACTGAAAATATTCTACTTTTACAGTGTTAACGCTATGGCAAGAATATTTATTAGGAAACATGTACGTATTAAATTCTAAGCTTTCAGAACTAATCTGTTCTTATTCATTTGCATATCTTGATGAAATGTCAAATACTCTAAATGCTTCAGGAACTTGATCATTGCTTGTTTTATCTTACTAGATCAGAGTAACGTATCTCCAAACTTCTTCAACATCCTCCTGGCTTATTTCTCTATAATCTCCTGAGTTTTCTTGATCTTCTCTGATTTCATGATTTGCTTTCTCTGTAGTTTCCTGAAAAAAGAATGACTTTGGTTTAACTTGTTCTGCTCACATGAAGGAGCTACTGTACTTTATAGTCGCATTAGCATTATAAAAGAGTAGACCCGAGGTTAGCTGAGGGGTTACACAGAAGCTATAGCTTGTCTCTGGACCAATGATTCAAGTGGGAAAGGCTTGGTCCCCAGCCTGCAGTGGTATTGGGAGGTGACGGAACCCTTAAAAGGCGGGGCCTCACGGCAGGAAGTGAGGTCACTAGGATGCCACCCCCTTCTCTTTCATCTCCAGCTGCCACCAGGCAAGCAGCTTCCTCCACCCGGGGCATGGGCCATGTTCTACCTTGCGCGGGTCCCACAGCAATGGAGCCCCCTGACTGCAGGCTGGCAGTCCTGCATCTGGAGCCAAAACAAACCTTTCCTCACTTGCCGCTGATTCTCTCAGGTGCTCTGTCGTGCTGACGACAGCAAAAACAGGAGGAAGAACAATGCTCTGACAGAGGGCACTTAAATTACACCGACACCACTTTCAAGTACGTTTTACTGCCATTTCTATCACTGTTTCCATGGGTTCAGATGAATTTGCACATCTATGTTTAGAATGTTATGTTGGTTGGGGTACTTTAGTAGGGGCTTGAATATTAAAGAATCATTTTGTTTTAATGATCCTGTTATTAACTACTTGGTAATTATATTTAATCTAGTGATTGATCAAATACATTTTACCTGAGAGAAATGTAATCCATGTTTCTTGGGAGTTCTGCGAGACAAGTTTCGTAATTTAAAAACATTCTCTTTATCTTTGGAAAAACTGTCAATGCTGTTTTTTCTCAACTCTGGATGCCTTCGTGGAAGTGTTTTAAGGGGAGAAGTTGCAGGAAATCTGGTTTAAAGACAATATGCAATTAAATAACTTAAAATTAGAAACAATTTTTATAGATGATTAATTTTAAAAATCATATAAAGAAACTTTTATTTATATTATTAAGGAATATAAATTAATTTTCCCATTAAAACCTAAAATGTATTAGTAATTTCTTGCTTTCTTTAGTATAGTCTGTATATTTGAATTTTATTCATAAAAAACTCTGGATTACTGTTGAATCCTCTCAGGATGGGGATATAGCTCAGGGGCACAAGTGCCTGCCTAGCAAGCACAAGGTCCCGAGTTTGATTCCTGGTAACAAAAAACAAACAAAAAACTATTGGATCATTTCTTTGGAGAAGTAGTGCTTATACACAAAATGGCTGTAGATTGCTACAGTTTTTATAATTAATTATCTAGTTTATATATACTTTTTTTGCCTTTTACTTGGCCATGTTTATTCTAATTTCAAGAACTTAGTCTCCTGCTTCTTTTGATTTTAAAGTTTTTTTCTTCCTTTCAAGGTATACTAAAATAGTTCAAAGACATGTTATGGTTGATACATTGTGTCAACTTGGGGAGTCTAGAGGTTTGGCTAAGTGACTCAGCAGGAAGCCAGGGTGCTTACTTTGTATACATCCTGAGCCTGTGAAAGAGAAGCGCAGGGAGATTATGTGAGAGCTACACGCCCCGTAGGTGGGGGTAGCCTGTTTACAATGTAAGGGAGGGAAAGAGACTGCTTGCCGCCATTGCTCCCATTCTGCTCGTTTGCTCTGGCTGCATTGCTGTTCGGCTGCCATTCCCCCCTTTGCTCTTGTTGCTTGCTATCTTCTGCCTCGGAGCCAGCCAAGTATGGACTGAAACCTCCACAAACTGTAAGCTAAATAAACCTTTCCTTCCTTCATTTTGGGTGTTGGGTATTTTGTCTGAGCAACGAGAGAAAAGTAACCAAGACAACATAAAACTACAGAAAACAATATAAAGGAACATTCATATATTCATATATTCATACTATCATGTTTTGAAGTCATTGAGATCTGGTCAAAAAGTTCATTTTTTTTTTTTTAAGTAAATGTGATGTTTTGCTCATTCCTTTTCTTTCCCTTATGTCCTAAAGTAAATCACAAACCTACAGTTAACATTTTTCATTCTTGGTGATGCTTTTATACTTGTAATAAATGTTAGCAATACTTGGTCTACCTTCTGTACTTCATGGTATCTTTTATTATATGTAAACTTTGTAAAATTTTTTGAACTTTTTTTTTGGAACCGGAGTCCAACTCTGGACCTTGTGCTTGCCAGGCAGGTACCATGCCATTGAGCTATACCCCTGGCCCTATATGTAAGTTTTTAATGACATGAGAAGTTCTTACTCCTCTGTCTTACAAATATTTTCTTTTTTTTTTTTTTTCTTATATTCATTCTCTCTTAAGAGTTTCAGTTTTCATATTTAGGGATTGAACCTATTTATAATTTACACCATGTTCTCACATATGTGTGGATTTGGTTTTCCAGCACTTAATTATTTTGAGCTAATTTAAGTCCAGATATCAGGTAAGGCAATTCTCCTTGCTCTTCAAAACTGCTGTCAAATTCTATAAAATCTATATTGGAGCTCTGAATAAAAAGGCACTGGATTTTTATATCAATTTGGTAAAGATAGACATATATGTGAAATTAATTATTTGTAAGCAGGGTATCTTTCTTCATTTATTCTCTTCAATAACAATTATATGATTTTCTCCAATAAAATCTTATATAATTTCAGGGAGCTTCACACCTAGATACTTTAGTTTTGTTAATAGTATAAAAGACTAGAGACAGAAAGACTAGTGGAGGAGTTATACAGAAATCCAAAAAAAGAATAACGATAGTATTTATACTGGAGAGAGAAGTGTCCAGTCAGAAGTACTAAGGTACTATCATAGACAAGTTTTAAAAATCATATTTAAAGGGGAGAAGGGAAAGAATAAAAGCAACTACAGGGAAGGATGATATTTGCTATGGCTCGTGTCTAGATGTCCCCCCAAAGCCTCATATAGTCATAGGTGGGGCTTTTTCAGAGGTGGCTGGATCTAGAGTGATGCTAAGATTGGTTCATGGCGCAATGCTGGGATCAAGGGCATTAGGATTACAAATGTGAATGCTATCTGCCCTAAGTAGGTTGGATAAGATATAAGGGTTAGAAAGAGGTGTGGTTGCCCCTTGTTTGCTTCACTACCTTCTGCTCATCATGAACTGTTTCTCCTCTTTGATACTTGTCTGCCATGCCACCCTGCGTTGGAGCTGGCTGACTATGGACTGAAACCTCTGCAAACTGTGAGCTACATAAACCTTTCCTCTCTTAACTTTGGGCATTGGGTATTTTGTCTCAGCAATGAGAAAAGTAACTAAGACACTATTCATTCAGATAGGGAACACAGAAGACAAAAAATTAGGATAGGGAGTGATAGTCATTTTCCATATATCATATTTCAAGTCTAACAGGCAGTTGAAAAAACTGGTTCTAAAACTCAGGAGAAATTTGGGTTGGAAGTTTGACAGTCACAGGAAAAGGTAGGCATGGTATGAGATTGCCCGAGGTGTAAGGTAAAGTGAGGGCAAAGACAAAAACTTAGAGACAAGTAACGGTTAAAGGATGAGTAGTTGCAAAGAGTCCCCCAGGATGACTGAGGAGTAATTAGGAAAGATTTATAAAGTGCTATATAGGATATACAGACTGCTCCTGTGCTTGTTATTACAATTTACTCGTATGTAAATGCTTCTTGGTTTGTAGGTTCTATGGTCTGTCTCCTCAGAAACTGATGCTGACGTTTCATTGCTAATGAATGGGGTAGAGAAGTATGTAAAGCTGCATAGGTTGTTACAGGGATTACTACCTGCCTCAAGGCAGTTCTGGCTCTCGCAGGACTGCATTAATTATCAGCAAATGTGAGTGGCCTTCGAATTTTGCCATCTGCATGCGCCATACTGCTCTGGGAAAGCAGAATGGCCCTAAGGTGCTGGTCAGAAGGTCCTCGCCCAGTTTTGGCCTTCCTGGCCTCCAGAACCAAAAGCCCAAATGAACTTTCTTTAATGAATTACCAAGTCTCAGGTATTCGGACATAGCAGTAAAAAATGGACTAACACACCAGAAAAGAATCTATTTTTAAGATATTTTGTTTGAAAAGTAGTAGAAAAAATGGACATTAGAATTCAAAGTCCTTAATGGCATATAACAAAGAATTTGGGTATAGGAGAGAAAAGCAATTATACTAGGTGAGGAATCAGTTGCCTCTATGGAGATGCAAACTGTGTAGGTTTAATTACATAATCTGGAAAATGTGCACAGTGCTCCAAGGTGGGAGAACATTTCAAAAAGCTAGGTCTCAGCACCCTTGTCAAGCCATGGTCTCAGCACCCTTACCTATAAAAAGGGCTTGACTCAATATCCTGCTAGGCTATTCTAGGTATTAAACAGAAAACGTATTGAACATAAATCAGTTTCTGGTATAAGACAACTGTAAGAAATATTCTCCTTAACCTGTATTTTATTTCTCCTGTTATCTGTTAAAGTTTGATATTCTCTTATCACATATATTTTTAAATTATATTAGGTCACATGTTATTTGAGGGCAAGAACCTATAGATTTGTCTTATAATTATACAATCTATGAAACTAAAGGTCTTCTCTTCTGATTTCCTACTTCTTTGTATATTAACAGCTAAATAGTTTGAATTTTATAGCAACTTTTACCTTATAATTTTCCTAAATGGATTAACTGAATTAACAATAGGTAGTAACACCTTTCAAAAAAAATGCTACTTTCTACTGAAGAAGTTGCTGTTGTGGTAAAAGCGGAAATAAAACTTCACAGTAATTTCATTGTATAGGTACACATCCATTCAGTACCTGAATAGCTGATTGTTGTCATCAAAATTTTCTGATCCCCATCTGCCTTTGATATCTTCAATTACATGATTTTTAAGAAATTTTCTTAATAGTTGAATAGTCTGTTGCCTTGTAACTTCAGGACCAAAATTGCTATTATTTCTTAATAGGTCATAAAGCCAATCCACAGCTTCTCCTGCTGTGAAGCAGTTGCCATATTTTTTAAAGTGTTGCCTGTGTTTTCTCAGGGGCATTCCCGCTCGGAAAGATGTAGTTACTTCATTCCACTGCAAAAGCAAGATAAAAAACATTAAAAGTAAACAAAAATAAAATCTTATTGATTTGAAATAAAACCGGCAAAACAATTTCTTCATTCACGCTTGATTGCACTGTGAAAATTCTTGAAGAAATCATCTCATTTGTACTACATAAAACTGGTATCCCAATTGGCTGATTTCATTTTACTAAGTCTAGTGCTACAGTAGTAGATTTTTAGTAAAGGCAATAATTGGCTGGTCAAATTATATAGGAAACCTAGGAAGAAGGCAGAGGAACTGCAATCTGAATCCTTCCCAGAGAAAGCATGTCTGTTTTTTACTTCTAGTAATATTAGTAATGAGCTGATAGCACCTATGCCAACCAATGTGCTTTATATTCACTATTTCACCTTAATTCCCACAATTCTATGAGCAGGTATTATGATCACCTCATTTCCATAGAAGGAAAACAAAGCACAGAGACACTAGTTTTGACCAAGGTCACACAGCTAAATGATGAAACAGGCACTCAAATCAAGGTTTGACAGACTATAGAGTCTGTACTGTTATTTACTGCGCTAGTTAAACAAAGCTTCTGACAGGCAGTCACTACTCCAGCAAGATGCCTTCAATACTGTCTTTAGCACAGTATCTCTTCTATGACGACTCGTGTAGTGAACACAAAACAAATAGGGAAAATAAGTCAAATGTAAATCCATCCTTTATTTAATGATCCTGAAACATCTCTGTATTTTAAAAAATACTGACATTTTAAAAACTGTCCTTGAGTTACACGGTTTCTAGATTTGTTAGAGCTCTAACTGTTGAGTGTGGAACTAGTGGTACAGAATAAATATCACTTTTTAACTGAAAAATCCTACATTAGACTAAGAAATTTAATCCGTAACCCTATTTATGTGACAACTGTTTATGTTACCACTGACCTAACCTATGTGGTCCCCGCATCACAGCACAGAACTTAAGGGTTGAAAAAGTATTCTTTCCTTCCCAACTGTCTAGTTCACGTTTATTCAATAAACTTATTGGAGGTGTGTACTATGTACCGGCCTGGCTACACAGTAGCAAAAACAACAGGGGGGCTTGTAGGGAGATTCCACTTCAGCTTTACTGAAGTGTAGTATACTGTAGTAGTTTCAAGAGCAGCCTCTAGAGTGAGACAACTATGGTTAGTTTCCTGGCTGTAGCCTTACCACTTATTGTTTATAAGCTTTTGTGCCTTCTCTGTTCCTAACCTCCTTATCCATGACATGGGGACAATAGTACCTAATTGGCTTGTAATGATAAAACGATTTAAACTGTCTAAAGTACCAATGGATAGTAAATGTTTGCTTGTTTAGTGTAGTCATACTACTTTAATAAGACTGTTAATAATAGATTTTTAATAAGTTGATAGGACTATCTTATTAAGGCTCCTCCAGGCATAAAGGCTACCCCTTGTATTGATAAATATAACCAATAACTTCTTGAGCACCGGCCTTCCTGTCAAGGTCAGCATACCAGAAGGATCTGTCTTCTTCCAGCTCAGTCACTTACTGTCTTTGTGACTTAGAGGGTCGCTTAAGTTCTGTGAGCCTCAGTTTCCACCCGGGTAAAGTGGGGGTCACCACACGTGCTCACACTGGAAGAGCTTTCCTGAGGGTGCTTGCGTGTTACTCTAAGACGCCAGCACGCTGTGTACCCAGTATCCTCCCAGGACCGCCCTGGGGCTGGGCACGAACTACACTACCAACGGGAACCGAGTCTCGCTGCTCTTTAGGGAACCTGACGTCCCATAACCAGCAGCACCGTGTCGTGGGGGGCTGAAGTCGCGGGGAACACTGCAGGGGCACACACGGATCGGTGGCCTCCCTGCCTTCCATTCTCCTGCCCAATAACAGAAATCAGCGAAACCCCTATCGGGCCCGGCCCGATCGGACCCACTCTCCGAAACCCGTTCCCACTGCTCTCAGCCCGGGCGCGGAAGACCAGGCACGGAAGCAGCGGCGGTCGGCACGCGGTGACGCTCGGGGACCCCACACCCGAGGCACAGCTGGCGGTCCCCCAAGCCGCAGGCCAGGGTCCTCAGCCTCCTTCCCACCGGCCCTGTGGCCGGGTCCCACCTCTCCGCCCGAGCGGTGCAGGCAAGGCGGCGGCCCCGGGCTACCCGCGTCGTCCCGCGTCCCTACCAGCTTGGTGGCCCGGTAGGGCCCGGGAGGCCCCGCGCGACTCTCCATGCGCCGTCAGCGCGCCGCGGCGTCCATGGCGGCGCACGGACCACGCGGAACGCGCCTCCGTGGCTGGCCAGTCTGTGTACAAATACCGGCCCGCGACTGATTTGAATGCCTGGGAGCGCTGCGCTGATTGGCCGCGCCGCCGGGTCACGTGATACCGCCGGGGCCCGGCCCGCGGAGACTCCAGTACAGCCGCGCACAGGTGAGGGCGCACGCTGGTCACGTGACGCCGCGGGGGCCGGGATGGGTGGGCGGGGGGGCCCGGGCTCCCTTCACTCTGATTGGTTCTAATCGTGCAGAAATGCGGGTTCAGACTTCCTTGGGTGGTGAGCGGAAGCCCAAGCAGATTTCCGTAAGGACGTACCGTTGGGGGGCTTGGGGCGGCGTAAAACTCGCCTAGTTGCTTTCCTTAAGAAAACCTACCACGCGTGCGTGTAAGACTCGGGATGTTTACGTCCTGATCCGAGAAGGCGCAACGACACCAAGTTGCGAAAGTAGCGAAGTTCCCACCCTCGCAGAGATGCCCACCGCTCAGTTTCTGGGCAGAGCTCAGACTTCACCCTGGAATCAACGCTCCGCCCCAGGTCCGAGCCGTTTGATCGGGAATTCCTCAGCGCCGAGGGCTAAGAGGCTGCTTTGGTGATAGGAAGCCTCCGAAGAATTCCTTTGGAAATTAGCAGTTGAGAGCAAAGCACTCAGTGAAAAGAGAGAAGGGAAAATGTAGTAGGGGGAATAGTGTGTCCTGTAGAGTTTTTCTTAATCGTCACACCTGGTCCTTTAGGTGGAGTTAATGTCTATGTTCTAAGCAGGACCACTGGAATTTTCAGACAGCACTTCTCACGCAGAAGCGATTCATTTTGAATTCGTGTTAAGGAAACGTAGTAGAATGATCGATGTTACAAAAAAATGTTAAACATTTTTTTATCTGGCTTTATGACACGGTGTCCTAGGATTTTATCTTTTCTCTTGCAGCCTGTTTTTCTTCAGAATAAAGTGGAGGTGAGCGTATGGAAGTCGAAATTTATTTTGCAGTTTTGCCCAGTTTCCCTAACTGAAAAAACGATCACGCAGATGCAGCCGGCCGGTCAGGGACAAAAATAATTAGAAGCCATAAAACATCTTCTGTAACGTTTGGAAGATGAACAGTGACTGTAAATCCGAAGTCTTCGTGACAGGATGGTTGGAGAAGTCCTAGAAATGGCATGCAACAGAATGAGGTGGTGCATGTAGGAAAGAACTGAGGCTGTTTTCAGGTTTTTCCAATGTCTGTGGGTTCACCCTGGTCATCACTTCCGCACTAACATTTTCTATAGAAGGGAACATATCTAGTAGTCAGTTGTTTTCAAATGTGCTGGGTCTCGAGCTTCCTCACGGAGCTGCTTATCTCTATTATTAGCAATTATTGATTATATAGTCTAATCTTTGAAGTGATTTTATTTCATTAAAATATTTTAAGAGTCAGCTTTCAAAAGCCGCCTCCCCCCACCCCGCAGGAGTGTTTGCGGGAAGTTGCAGATTTAAACAGTAACAATTCATCTTTGAGGTCTAGCCATTCTACCTGCTATGTCTAGTTATGAATCTTATTTCATGAATCTTGTCTAATACTTGTCTAGTTTGAGAAAATTTCTTCTCTTAAATTACTCCATTCTGTTTTCCTTCCTGCTTTGGAGTCTATGATCTCACAGATCTATTTTTCTGACCTCCTTCCTTTTATAATTTTCATCACCTCACAGGTTCTCAGAGAAATTCTTGTAGCTAAGTTTCTCATTCACTGATTCAATTTCCTTTTGCTCACAGTCTCTCTTTCATCTCCAAGAAAACTTTCCAATTCTCTGATTGTTATTTATTTCTGTATAGCTGACTCTTGATTTAGACTTGAGAGTATGAATTATGAATGATAGTCTAATTACTTTCCCCCTATGTTTTGTAATAACGTACTGCAGAATGCTCAAGAAATGACCCTGTTCTTTGAACTGTTGATTCATTCACTGTATGACTTTTTTTTAAGTATATATTTTTACAGATTTTAAGGTTAGCATTAATACTGAGTTAAGTCCCAGTGAGAATAAGGTAAGTGCATGTGTTTTCCAAAAGACTCCTTTTACTTTTAAACCATTTATTTACTGGATCTTGCATCTTGTATTAAAACAGCTGTTACACTTGTAGTGCTTCGCACTTCAAATTTAGTTGACATGATTGTTTTTTGTGGCCATCAACTTTCCTTTGGGAAAAGCATACTTCTGCATTTGGGAAAATATTTCTCCCACGCTAACATACGTGAGTGGACCAGCTGTCTTTACTGCTTTCAGGGATTACCGAGGAATGAATACTGTAATCCAGCTGAGGCACGATGCTCTCCCTGTGTGCACGAGGTGGTCACGTGAACCGAGCCGAGTCAATCAGGGCCCTCTGAGAGTTTGCAAACTGGGTCAAAAGGGAAGAGCTGTGTCTTTCTGTTGTCTAAAGTGAGCAGATATAATCCAGGAGCCAGTGTGGCTACAGTTACAACCAAGAGGAGAATCTTAGTTACCAAAAATGCATGGATGCCCAAAGAGAAACAGAAATGAAAACTGTGGAGGTGCAGTTTCATTTTATGTGAGGTTATTGGGTTCCTGTACATGGCACATCTTTATTACTTCCCTTTTCTCTTCTCCTCACCCTTTGCCCTTCTTCCCTTGGTCCTCTTCCCTATTGCCAGAGATCCATCTCCTTGTCCCCTTCTACCCATCCTTGATTATTCTCTTAGTTTGTACCTTGCCTCACTCAAATGAGCAATGCCCTACATATGGTGTTTAAGCTTGTTAACACCATGTAATTGCAAACAAAACAGACTTCAGAGCAAGGAAAATTACCAAGAATAAAGAAGGGCATTACATAATAATAAAAAAGTTTTCAAGAAAGCATAGCATTATTTAATGTACACTTTCCTAGCAATGGGTCAAAATATGTGAAGCTAAAACTGATAGGCAAATCCACTATTATAGTTGGAGACTTCAACACCCCTGCATCATTGATAAATGACAGAGCAATCCAACCAACAAGAATAGGGAATCAGTTGGCTCCAGTTGATATTTACAGAATGCTTCATCCAACAACAGCAGAGTGCAAATTCTTAAATTCCTAAGGAACATTCTCCAAGGTGTACCACATTCTGGGCCATAAGGAAGTAAAACTAGAAATCAATTAATAGAAATAAATTGAACCCCCACCACCCAAATATCTGGAGATTAAATAGTACATTTCTAAATAGCTTAAGAGTCAAAGAAATATTAATAGAAATTTTAAAGTATTTTGAGGAAAATGAAGATCAAAATATAAGTTATCAACATCTATAAGATGCTTGCTTCTATATTTTCTCTGCTGGTACATTTAGTTTGTAAGAGCTTTCTATAGTATATAGTTTCTATATATAGTATATAATTCTATAGTACATAGTTTGTCAGAGCTTTCTATAGTATATAGTTTCTAGATATAGTATATAGTTCTGTAGTTCTATAGTATATAGTTTCTGCCAAACTATACTAGTTTTATCATCATAGCTTGATAGTGTGCATAAAGAAGACATCCTGAGTTATTGCATATAAAATTTTTCCTGTATAATTTACCATTGATTTTTCCATTTACAGTCATATGCTACCTAAACACATTTTGGTTCATGATGAACTGCATATAGAACAGTGGTTCCATAAGATTATAATGAAACAAAAATATCACTTAGTGATGTCATAGCCATTGTGATATTCTAGAGCAACCCATCCCTGGAATGTTTAAGGTGATGCTGGTATAAATAACCTTACTACACTGCCAGTACTATGCAAGTATATATAAAGAATGGTGTAGAACATACGTGCCAGACATGGTGGCACATACTTATAATCTCAGCACTCTGGGAGGCTCAGACAGGAGAATCACAACCTTAAGCCCAACCAGGGAACTTAGCCACTTACCAAGACATGTGTGAAAAAAAATTAAAACGGAGCTGGGGATACAGCTCAAGATGAAGGCCCTAGGTTCAATCTCAGTACCATGAAAAACCATTGCAGATACAATAATGTGCAGTACATATGCTTGATTTTGATAATAAATGACTATGTTATGGATTATGTACTTTTCTTTTTGTAATTGGATTAGTACCCCTACATATTAAAAGTAGTTATTGTGTTATGTTATACTTGCAGCATACTCACACACCTTGTGTTTGATTGCATCAATAGGCCCAGTTCAGTGACTGACCCACACCATCTAGGTTTATGAAAGTACACTTTATAATGTCTGCACAGTGATGAAATTATCCAACTATGCATTTCTCAGAAAGTATCCCTATCATTACCCAACATGTCACTGTTTTATTTACCTACAAAATGTATATATGCACACAATATATTCTACCTCTTTGCTTTTTCTACTTTATTTTAATACTGGTCTTAAATATTTTGTTCCATATTTTCTGTGAAGTTTTTAATAGTTATATTTGTAAGTCTTTGAGTTAGTGTTCAGTTTATTAAAATTTCTGGTAGATAGTGAACATATGTAACTTTTAAAATTTTTCTGAGAGAGAAATTTTATGAGATTTGTTATACAGCTTTTTCATTGTTATTCTTATATAAATATGTAATTAAAACTTTGTATTTGACAAGTAGCCACTTAAAAGTATTGCTTAACTTTCCAATGATTATTTTTTTAAAAATATTTGTCATTAGCTGGGTGTGGTGGCACCTACCTATAATCCCAGCACTCAGGAGGCTGAGGTAGGAGGATCCTTGAGAGTTCAAGACCAGCCTAGGCTACAAAGTAAGCTCAAGGTCAGCCTGAACTGCATAGTGAGACCCTGTTTCAAAAAGCCAAAGATGTTGTCATTAATTATTATTTTAGTTATATTTTTGTTTTATTGTAAAACATAAATTTCTTAGTTTTTGAAATTTGTTGGTATTTTTGCCTACCTAAGATCAACTTATTATAACCACTATATGAACGTTAGAAAAAACCCACTTTGATTATATGGGTCAAGACATTTTTTAAAAGTCAGTTTGGGAGAATTTTGTCACTTACCACCCAAAGATCTCCAGTAAAAGAGCAGTTTGTAAGAATGCTAGTGACAAGGACATTTCTCAGGAAGAATGCCCTTTAGCTCCCTGTAAGAGTTCATATCATTCCTGTACATTGCTGAGCACCATAGAGGGAACAGAAACTCTCTAAGGACGCTGAGAAGAGTTTCCATGATTGCTTACAAGTAACACGCAATTTGCTCCTGAGTAATGTTTGAGACCTTTGATAACTAATCTTTTGGGGGATGTATGCCTGTTTATGGGGGAGTTTTACCTTGGACTTCTAGCATCCTGCCTACTATAGTACAAAGTTCACAACTTATTTCTCTAAAGATTCTGGTGGAGCCTCTAATCTCAAGTGCCACGTCAGAGTTTATTGGGAGAAGGAGAGTGCCAGGTACCTGCATCAGGATGCCATATTCCGTTTGTCTGGGTTGAGTTTGTGCATTGTGGGATAAATCCTGGGAAAGAAGGAGGCATTTGGAATTGAAAGGATTACTAAAAATTCAATTATGTGGTTTATTTTTCATTCAAAATTGCTTTGGCCTCCAAGACCAGCCCCGTAATTCATGCTTCCCACTCTTCAGGCCTTTGCGTCATCTCGTCATGCACAGAGGGTGTACCCAAACCTGGGTAGCCAACAGAATATAACAGAAGTAAATGCGAATCTTGTCATTGGGTCATGAAGAAATTCCCGTGTTCGCCTTTTAAAGTTTTAGGTTTCTTGATTTGGAGGAAGCCAGCTGCCATATTCTGAGGCGTTCTTCATGTGGTGTGGGTCTGAAGGAAGGTGTCTAGTGTGGAACTGAAGCCTGTCAGTATGCAGAGCTAACTGTTACATACCTGAGGAATCGGTCTTCCTACTCAAGATTTCCTGTGATCAGGCCTGGGGAACATCTTAATGGCAGCCTTATGAAGGTTCTTGAGCCAGAATCACCACCTAAGTCGAATTTAAATTGCTGACCCACAGAACCATTAAAGATACTGAATGTGTATTGTTTTAAGAGGATAAGTTTTAAGGGAATTTGTACATTGGTGAAAAACTAATGTAAAGAGTCTCATTAAGAAATCAAGTCAATGAGTGGTAGTAGAGTTTACACTCTAATGGAGAAAATCAGAGGAAGAACAGAGAAGAAGCAAGAGTTCTCCTCTGTTCATTATGAGATGTCTAGTTCAAAAACAGATATCAAGTATGTGGCTGAACATAAGATTCTTGAATTTTGGAGAGAGGAGAGTCACAGGCTGGAATTTGAAAAGCATCTCCAGATAGGTTGCATTTAAAACTCTGGGAAGAGATGTAGATAGAGACTAGGCTGGAGCTCATCAGTGGGTTGGGAAGGAAGAATCATTGAGATTAAGAGAGGACATTTCCACAAGAAGGGTTCAAATGAAGTGGAAACAAGGAGAAAGAAAGTCTTCACAGCCGGGGTTAAGTGCAGACTAGGAGAAGCAGGGCTTTGTCATTGGGCTGGTTAAGGTTAGCTATGATAAAATTGCGATGCAATTATGATAAATGATTATTCCAAGAAATCTTATTCATGTGTGAGGGAGTAGAGCAAAAATGTGATGATGAATCATTTTTCTCCATGCGGTTTATGTGAATGCTTTCACATAATTGCATATTAAATCTTCCGTGGACTAGAGTACCCTTGGAGTTCTCTACTGATTTCAGCTTGATTGCTCTTAAAGCATACCAGATTTAGGGGCTGGGGATTTAGCTCAGCGGCAAAAGCGCCTGCCTAGCAAGCGCAAGGTCGTGAGTTCGGTTCCTGGAACCGGAGAAAAAACCAAAAAAAAAAAAAAAAAAAGCATACCAGATTTAGATGTCTTTGGAGATAAGGAATTCAAAATCTCCTAAAGAAGCGAATGCTAAGAGCTAAGAGCTTTTCACATGGAAAAACTGCCTCTTAGAGTATATAATCTCCATGAAAGAAGGCTGTTTAAGCATCCTATCTGTATCTGTTTCTACATCTGCATATTGTGCATGTGTGTGACATAAAAACCGAAGCACTCCTGTGAAGGAAGGACTGCACACACACCAGTGATCACACTGATTGTGAGAGGCTGACATATTCATGTTACCCAATGGTGACCTGGGCTTTGTGATGTCGTAGTGCAATGCATTATGTGTTTGTGGTGATGAAGATGCATGTGAACCAAATGTGCTCTCAGTTGTGTGAAAGTGCAGCACACACAACTGTGTACAGCACACTGTACTTGGTAGTGATAATAAACGACTGTTTTATGTACTTATTATAATGTGCTATGCTTTTTATCCTTTAGAGGATAATTCTATTTATAGAAAAATGTTTACAGCAGTTTGCTTTGTACCAGCAATAGGCTCATATCTCTCATGTTTAACTGCATATCTTGATTATGTCAAGGAGCTATCCCGGGCGATTGGCATATACCTTCTTGTTTTGCACTTAGAAGTTTGCACTCTATGTGGTACTTTGTAATACACACTGACGAAACTGCCTGACAGCACATTTCTCAGGTTGTATTTCTGTCAAGTGTGTCAGGACTGTATTTGAAATTCAGATTTTAAAAAATTGGCCTATTTTGAGTCTACCAGCTAATTAGAATTCTTTCTTCTCTGGACTACTATTTGTTCAATATTAGTTTTGAAAATCTTTCTAAAACAATCACATCCATTGATGTCTCATTAATGCTTGCAATGTGTATTAAAATTACATGGCAACATGTTTAAGTACTTTTATATTTTGCTTTGGTTGGGTTCTATTATATTTGAATATTGTATTTGAATATTTTTCCTTTTGCATTTTGTCTCCAGATAATTTTAATTTTTGTATTTGTTTAATGTTTGTATGTGTGTTAAATGAATAATAAAGCTGTGTGTGTTTTTATAAGTTATATTCCACAGTTAATAAAGGGCTTTAGTTTTTTCCTTAAATCGATTCACATGAAGTAATTTCAGTTTTCTCATCTTCGTTCTTTGTCTGCTTCTGCTTTATGTAAATTGGTTGTTTTTTTTTTTTTTTGTCTTTTTCTCTCCTAGCAGAGAGTTACACATAAGGGAGGAGGCTATAGGGGACTCTGATTCTCACATCGTATGTCATTTTATAGGCTTCTATTTTTCTTTGAACTCTAATATCATTCTTTATTCTCTTTTAAGTTTGCTTTGTCAGAGCTGATCTGCAGGGGGTGAAATTTATTAATGAAATCCAGTCAGTATACATGAAAAAAATGCTAGTTTAATACATGACGTGTGTTTGCCACTGCTTAGTGTGATTTTTATTTTTTTAATGAAGATGATCAATTTAAAATCAGTTGCATTTAGCTGTGTAATAATACAGGTCTAAGACATATGCATACAGGTATGTATTAATTCCTCATCAAAAAATTCTTTAACTTCTGTGTATCTGTATTGTGTACATGGGAAATCTGGCAAACTAAGGTATGATTTGACATTGTCAGAAGAGGTTTTTAATTAGTTAAGTAATCAATTAATTTTTTTTTTGAGGCAGGGTTTTGCTATGCAGTTTAGTCTGACCTTGAGTTCACTGTGTAGCCCAGGCTGGCCTCAAACGCTCAGTGGTCCTCTTGCTTCAGCTTCCTGAGTGCTAGGGTTACAGGCATGAAAGAATGTGCCTTCACTAATAATTGGCAAAATCATAGCAAATTCTAGTAAGTGCTATGCTTGGATCTAGAGTGTCTCCTGAAGACATGTGACAGACTCTGCCATATGCTACTTCTAAATGGGCCCCCCAAAACCCAGGTGCTGGATCATTGGCTGAAACTACCAGAACCATGACCAAAATAAACCTTTTCTCCTTATAAACTGATTATCGCAGTTATTTACTTATTTTTTACAGTACCAGAAAGCTGACTGGCATAAATAATAAATTACAGTTTTTTCACATTAGATGATAAATAAAAGCAATTGTAAGGCACGGTGTGGCAAAAGTGACGTTGTTTTAGAACAATTACACATTGCATCCCTTTCCTGTCTTCTTTATTGTTCTTAGATCTTATAAGCATCAGTATATATGTTTATTTGTATATAATCTCTTTTCACCCACTGGAGTGTAAACTCCATGATAGAAAGAATTTGTAGTAAAAAATCTGTAAGAAAACATTTTCCTGGTGAAAGTGATCCATAATGTTTACTGTGTGTAAGGTTTTTTTTGTCTCTGTAAGAGGTTTTTTATTCCCTGATGTTTGAAATTTTTGTATTGGACACTCATTCATGCATTACTTTAAGGAAGGAAATAAACAGTATTTTCTCAAGCTCTGTGGCAACCAAGATAAACTACGTGGAATTCACAGGAAAGCCGAGGAGCTTGCGTGCCAGATCTCTGTGGGGAGGAGATGCCTGAGCCAATCTTTACATATGCGTTGGGAAAACCCGGATGGAGAAAGGAAGAAGGAAGGTTTTGCGAGAAGGAACTATTTACAGAGTCGAGAGGCATGTAAGTATAGAACGTCATGGGCATTGTGAATAATTTCCATATACAGAAAGAAATAGGGCACTGAAATTCTAGAGGTAAGCAGGGGTCATATGCTGAGTTTGTTTACATGCTATGTCAAGAGTTTCATTTTACAGCGCTCCTACTCTATTCCTGCGTATTCTCACTTCTGATTTTTAAAATCATTTCCCTGTGAGCACCCAGGTTACAGTTAGAGTCTTAACATCTATTTTCATCTCTCTGTAGTTTATCTTCCATGAGCCACACTGTTTTGCTTTGCATCCATGGTTCCTTAACACAAATATTAGTCCTATCATGATTGTTCCCTTTTCTGATATCATAATCTTCTCTAGCATATCTAGATTCATCAAAGACCCAGTGGGAAGTGCTATAATTTTTTGCTTTTAAAAAATCAAACATATTTTAAAGAACTGTAGTGGGCTAGAAAAGTATTCTGTCTACAGAAATATTTGCTATGTGTTATTCTTCCTGCATTCTTGATATTATAGGCCATATTTGAGTATTATTTTTTTCTGCCCAAAGATGTTCCTTTAACAATTCTAGGGCAGATCTGCTGACAACAAATTCTTAATTTGTTTACCTCCATCTGAGAATGTTTCATCTTCATTCTTAAACGATATCTTCTCTGGATATCAAATTCTGGGTTAAAATTATTTTTCTTTCACCACTTTACAAATATTGTTTAACTTCCTTCTGGCCTCAATAAGACAGCTGCAGTCATTTGAATAAATATTTCCCTAAAAGTAAGGCATCGTTTGTATCTGGCTGCCTTCGTGATATTTTTCTTGTCTGTAGCTTTCAGCAGTTGGTTTACATCAGCTTTGAATATAAATTTCTTTCTTTCTTCTTCCTGTTTGGGTTGTTGCATTTCTTGAATCTAAGACTTTGCCATTTCTGCAAATCTGGCCATTATTTTTTCCAAACATTGTAACAAACATATCCTTTTTTGTCTCTGTCTTGGATTAGGGTAACACAAATATTAGTCCTGTTATTATTGTTGCATAGGTCTCTGAGGTCTTTTAATTTTTAAAAGCCTTTTAAGTCAGTTTTTTTTTTTTTCCAGACCAAATGATCTCTATTGCTTCACTAGGTTCACTTATATTACTTTTGTCATTTCTATTTAATAAATTTTTAAAGTTGTTATTGTATTTTTTAGTTCTAAAGTTTCCATTTGGTTTTACTTTACATATTTTATTTAATGTTAAGATTTTCTGTCTTTTCATTTATTTCAAAATAACTCAACCTTAGTCTCTGGAGCACTGTCATTATAGTGGATTTAAATATCATTGGCAGGTAATTACAACATCTGTGTCCTCTCAGCGTGGGAAGCTGTTGATTATCTTCAGGTAAGTTGAGATTTTCTGGGTCATCGTATGGCAAGTAGTTTTGGATTATATGCTGGACATTTTGGATACAGAAGCTCCTCAGTTTATGATGGGTTTATGTCTAGTGAATTCACTGCAAGTTGAAAATATCATAAATCAAGAATGCATTATATCAGTCAGCCTTGCATCACTACAACAAAAGCCATGACACAGGCTACTTGTAAAGAAGAGAGGTATGGATGGCTCCATTGATCTGGACTTCTGGTAAATTGTTAAATCATAATGGAAGCATGTGTCAGATGAGTGCTCACATTTTGAGCCAGGAAACAGAGAGAGAGGGAGAGAGAGGGAAAGAGAGAGGAAGTCCCACATCCCTGTTGAGCATGTATCCTCAGTGACTAAGGACCTCCCAGTGGGCTCCACCTCCAGAGGCCCACAGCACGCTACAGTATCTTGGGAAAGGACCCAGGCTTTTGATATGGCCATGTGGGAGATGCTTAAACTACAGCACTCATTTAGTGCACCTAATCTTTAGGACCTCATAGCTGAACAACACAGTGCTGTGGAGGTATCTGCTTCTCCTTATGACTGTGTTGCTGATTGGGAGCTACGCCTACCTGCTCCTGCCCAGCATCACAGAAAGTATCAAACTGCATATTTCTAGCCCAGAGAAATATCAAAATTTTAAACTCAAAGTATGGTTTCTACTGAGTATGCATCAATTGCTTTTGCATGACTGTACGCTGGGGACCATCTGTATTAGGAGATCCTGGATCTTGCTTAAATCCTATGAAAAATGTTGGTATCTGTGTTCCAGCAGGCAATTGGCCAAGTTGGGGGCAGACCAGAAACACCAGCTAGTCTTCTGCAGACTGTTGCTTCAATATCAGCTCCCCTTTTAGAGCTCTTGTGCACACACAGTCCTTTCAGTGTGCGTCACTGAGTGGTCAGTGTAGGATAGGGGCAGTGGTCATAGCCATTGGAATGCTGTTTAGAGTCGAATTTGCAAAAACGTAGCTGAAGGGTTTCCCAGGATCTCTTAAACAGTCTATGGTGTTGCTTCTTCACATTCCTTACCCTGCACTATTTCCTGTTTCTGGAGGCAACCAGTTTAGTTTTCTGGGACAGAAAGCTGGGGCTTTTGCCACACACTTCCGGTGATTCCATCTGGATCCAGATCTGGTGCAAAGCACTAAAAGGACAGAAGAGGGTGGGAAGGAATTACTCCACCGCCTGTCCGCCTGTCTCCTCTGCCTGAAGATGAAGCTTCCCCTCAGGGATGTAGGGACTTGGACCCTTCATTGCTATCTCAGCCATGGTTGTGGACCCACGTTTTAGGCATAGGCATGAGAGGATTAAGAAAAAGGAAGAAAAATGAAGTTCTAAGCGTTGGGAAGCTTGTGTTCTGCTCCTTAAGCTTCTTGAGCCAGAACTGGAGGGAGATTCTCAGCACTCTCCTTGTTCATAGCCAAAGTCCACTTCTGGATTTCAGGCTAAATTATACCCAGGCCTGGAGATGCCAAATAAAAGTTAAACATTCCTGCCATTTGAGCAGTATTTGATTTTTTTCCTAGTCTCCTTGTTACTTTTCACTTTTCAGACTTTTCAACAGCTTCTCTAGCTTTTGCTTCAGGTTTTATACCTGTGTGAGGTACACTGGCAACTATTAAATGATTGATGATGAGTGAGAGGTTTTCATAGATTCTACAATTAGAAGTTTTTAATGAATTCCATTTTGAAAATTGTTCGTTTTCTTTTATGAAGGGCGGTTCAATTTCTTCCTTGTAAAATTCCTCTCTAGAGGACTCAATATCAATCTTCTAGATATTAAACTAATTGTTCTCTGCTATCCTGAAAGAAATAATGTTCTTCATATTGTCTTTTACTCCTTAAAGTATTTGTTGTGGCTTAATATGTGACTGATTTTTCAAATATTTTACTGTTTTATGCATCATTTCAATATGATGACTATTTTGAAGTACACAGTCTTATTTGTGTATCTTTGTGTTCTAAAAGTCAAAATGAAACCAAAGCTTTGCTGCTTCTGAAGAAACAAGGAAAGTGTTGAACTATTTAAAACCAGCTACTGGAGCTGGGGATTTAGCTCAGTGGCACAGCGCCTGCCTGGCAAGTGCAATGTCATGAGTTCGATTCCTGGTACCGGAAAAAAAAAAACAAAAAACAAAAAACCAGCTACTGCCATACAAAAATCCTGTCAGTCACTGGAATTTTCATTTCTGAGTGTATTCTATTGATCAAATAGTCTTGACCATTTTACTATCCTTTTTTCATTTAAAATTTAAAATGTAATGATAATCTTTTGTCTGTGACTGTACTTGATTGTTTGCATTGAAATTGGAAGGTTCATTCTTATAACATGAAAAACAAATTTAAGATGAAATGATACAAAACAAAATTCTTGTATTAACTAAACATAGAAGTAAAGACTATTTTTAATCTTGTATTAAATAAAATTATTTATAACTAGAAAACTACCACACAGGATATATGTGTGGACTATTAAGAAATAGAGAGGAAAAGAAAGTGTCCAGATGTATCAACTAATTTGATCAATTAATGATCAAAACTCTAACTTAGTCCTGTGTTGTCTCTTTATGAAACATGGGTATGGTATAGTTACAATGAGTTACAATGGTCTTGTGTTGTAGTTGATCCTTTAAAATTCACGAACCTTTAACATTATTCCACAGTAACTATACACCAGAGACTTTAGTCTCACTGGGCTTCAGTCATCTGAAGGAATTCCAACTATAGGAAACAGTGTTGTAGACACTGTAAAGTGGATTGCTGGACTCTTGAGAATCAGGCCTGGGCGGGAGGTCAGCTTATCCGCCATCTTTTGCCATCTTTTGTCAGGAGAGGAGAGTTGAGTTGGATGCCTGCTTCCTCAAAGAAGCCTGTGTGCATAGCAGTCATATGTTCCCTAAGGGCTGTGAATTGATGCTCTATAAGATTCTTCAGCAACACCTATCTGGAGTGGACAAATTCCTTCTAGATACTTTTGCCTTTTGGAAGTCATCACTGCTATCTAAGCATTCATTCATTGCTTCAATAAATATTTACTGACTGCAATGGTAGGCAGTAAAACAGTTTCACTTTAAGCTACAACCTAGCAAGAAATAAAGTTTATGTGTCGCTGTGATAGGAGGAGTATAAGATTTGTGGGGTGCATAAGCAGGATATGTGACTCAAAGGAGGTCTAGGATAATGCTCAAGGCCAAGTACAAGAGGCGAGAGATGAGATGATGAAAGATTTCTTTGACTTTTATCTGCTCAAATAAGTCTCCTAAGGCCTACAGCCTGCAAACTGTGCTTTGTTGTTTCACTTCCAGATTATTTGGCATCTTCTAAGGAATGAGTCCCTGGCAAACTTAATATACTTTTTCTCTATGTGATGCCAAGGACTTAAATTGTACACATATTTATGGAGTACTATTGATCTATCCACGTATAGACTGGGTTGGAAATTATACTATGAATTTAATGTCTCCACTAGCTTATTCGCAGGTACTTTTTGCTTTGTTTCCTCTTCTTGTCATTAGAAGTTTCACTTCCAAGTTCATTCCTTTATGTTAGTTATTGTCCCACAGCATAGCAATAGAAGAGCAACCTTGTTTGGCTGGGCCACGTGAATAAATTGATGAAAGGAGTGGAGAAGAGGCTGCAATGTCCAAAGCCTTCAGGAAAGAAGAGAAAGATTGGAAAGTGAAGAGGACACTGAATCGCATTTCTGTGTTCATGGACAAGAGGGCTTTTGATCATGGTCATTTACGTCTGGTTATGTATAAGTGAATTTAAGACTTTCCCAGTGACGGCATGCAGACACTCTAATGCTGTGCTGGAGAATCTGCATATTCAGTTTTCATAGTACAATTCAAATCTATTTCACTAAATAGAATACCCTAACGAAGTAAGCATGAAGTGGCTGAGATTGGGCTTGAACAGCCACTGTCTCAAGCCGCAGTGGAGTCTGGTGTGAGAATATACGTGCCAGAAAGCAGTTCCCATGGAAGGAGCCATTCACATGATGTGCTTGGTCAATAACTGCTGTAGAATGAATGAGGAGACAAGGCGCAATGTACAATACTGCACTTGTCACAGATCACATCCTACTCTGTCTCTTTATTTTTTATTTTTTATTTTTTTTGGTTTTTCTCCAGTACCAGGAACCGAACTCACGACCTTGCGCTTGCCAGGCAGGCACTTTGCCGCTGAGCTAAATCCCCAGCCCCTACTCTGTCTCTTTAAAGGATGCTGTTTTCCTGTTATATGAGAGAACATGAAAGTTGTACCTCTGGTCTTTATGCATTTTCGTGGTTGAGAAGATGGTGTAAACCAGTGTTAGAAAAATACACTTCGATAACATTTGATTCTTATGGACATGGTCAGCTTTACAGAACAAAATCAATGAAGATCTGTCTACTGTGTAATCAAGGAACCATCAAGGACCACTGCAAAGAGCTGGACTTATGTTGCTTGTATTACCATGAGAATTTCTATCATTAGTATAAAGCATTAGGTGCTAATATAATACTGTATGATTAATTGTCTAAAACAAAAAGTGAGGTGATGAGCTCTTTCACTCAAAGTAATTTATATTATACAATCATTCAGTTGCTTAGTTTCTAAACTTTATCTCTTTACACCATAATTTACATAGAAAATGTGCTGCATTTCTGCTTCCTAACCATTGCTTACCCAAGCAGGCACAATCTTTTATAATCCTGTTTTGTGCCATCATATTTACTTTATAAGTTAGAAGCAGCACATTTGCAGTTTCATTCAGACCATCTTATTATAGCAGCTGAATAAAACAACATTGATGTAAGTCAAAGAATTAGAATCTGTGCATACATTGATACTGATACACATACATGTTTTTGTAAAAGTGGCAACAGCACTAAAGATTAAGATATGAGTTTTCCAGCAAGAAAATGCATATAATTCACAAACAATGTTAAGTACACAAGCTTAAATACTGTATAGCTTCTCTCATTTGAGTTATCCATAGTACAACTAGCAAAGAAATTGAAGGCACGTACAAAGATTTAAACTGCATCAGGGACAGGTACCAACTACCCGAAATGAATGTAATCATTGTATGTTGAAAACATGAACCGAAAACAATGGGGGAAGGGATCTGGAGGTGGAGGGAGGGAGGAAGGTGGGGAGGGAAGGGGAATAGGAAGAATCAGAACGTGTTAAGTGCAGGTACCCACTGCCCAAGATGGATGTAAACAATGGAGTAAACATCATGCAGTGCAACCACGTATTAGTAAGAAATGAAACGTGAGTAAAAAGATATGAGTTTTGCATTTATATATTCATTTGCTTTTGTGAGGGGTACTGGGAATCAAACTCAGGACCTCATGTTTGCCAGGCAGGTGCTGCGCCACTGAGCTAAATCCCCGGCCCTGCATTTATAAATACAGTGTCCTAGAAAATTCCTGTTTAAAAATTGCTTAAAATTTTCATTAGAAAGGCTTCAGGAAGCTTTAAAAAAAAATTTGGTCACATAAAATATAGGAAGAATAACCCAGAGATAGATAGCTTTGCAGGATCATTTTTCTTACTTAGTTTAATTCAAATCAAATGATACATATGCTCCTGAAAAAGTGATAACATCTGGTAACTGCAATAAATTTACACTTTAACTGGAAACACTGGGATCATTTCAATTCAATGCCAAGGCAGTTGCTTTGATAAGGACACACACACCGTGCCTAGAGGAAGTGACTCCACTTTACCTGGGATGTGGTGCTCGCTCTAGGAGTGATTTCTTGCCTTATGAGGAAAGTATAGTTCTTACACTCACTCATGCTCACAGGTATGTCCAACCTACAGCTCATCTTTGCCTCTGTCCTTTTTTTTTGAGTGAATAGGAATTGTTTTGGCCACATATAAAATGTATATTTAATATATATGTAATAAATTCCTTCGAAAATATTTTTCAGTATAATAGTTAAAAAGGGAACAAAGATCTCGTTAGCAGTTTGGACACAGCTGCCAGAAGCTGGGATTGTAGTGAGGGGTGACAGGAAAGCTCTGGGGCGTGGCTGCCTGCATGGGGAGAGCATTGGTAGATGCTTTCATGGCACAGAGGTAACTAGGTTAGGGGACAACGATGGCAGTGGAGGGACTGCAGTGCCAGCCCACCCCAAGGACACCTAGTGACTCAGCATCTCTGCGCTGTGCCTGCCGAGGAAGGATCTTCACACAGGTGCCCTTGTGGAGACGGCAGGCTATTTACCAACCTCTCCTCCTGACCTCACCTCCCACCACTCTAGACCTGGAAAGCTCAAACGAATCAGGAACATTGAAACAGTGGGAGTAAAAATCCTGAGGAAAAATGAGAGCTACCCCCATGAACTAAAGCTTCCTTATGCTATAGCATGTGTATGAGTAGTTTAGCTGGGCCTGATACCGAGGAATTTCCTAGAGGTGAAGGAGAAATATTTCAGAGAAATTGCTGGTGACAGGAGCTCTCCTCTAGCAACCCAGAAATAAGAGCCACTGTTGGGCTCTCTGACACCACAGAGTTTACCTTTCTGGCCTGGAGATGGCTTTCAGTGTCCATCGTCATGTTGACTTGGAATTCTAGGCAGGAATTCTAGACATGTGCGTTAAAGTGTTCTACTATGGAGCAGCTGCAATCCCATATTGGGTAAAGCTGGATAGAGGCTCTGGGTTTCTTAGCATTAGAGTGGAGACATTTCCTTGCATTTCTTCTTTGTATGATGCCTTGTCTCTAGCAGGGACTTTCCTGACATTAGAAAGTTTTGGTTTCCCATAAACAAATTCCAGCTTCCTGGAAATAATGACAGTGTATATCTTAGAAGTAATGCTATTGTGCATCTTGAAAACACCACTTGGAAGATGTTGACCCACTGTTACTGGTTGTGAGAGGTGGTGTGATGGACTATTCTAGGTGTATAATAATCAGATTATTCATTAGTAATTTACAGGGGAGACACATTTAGTGTCATTTGGTTTGGTGTTAATGCGAAGGTGAAAATTCATTTTGATACTGATGATATTTTCTACTCTTGTATCTTTAATTTGGATTAAAATGATTACAGTTATAAAGAAACACCTAGGACATAAAACATGGAAGGACAGAAGAGTTCTAGCGTCAAGGAGATTGCTGGTGAGTCTGGAGCTAGAGAAGATTTCCTAGCTGGAAGTGATGTGTCACGGTGTTAGCTCTGATCCTTTTGCTGTGTCTGGACATGGAACTGGGTGTGATGTTTAGGTTCTGGGCCCTGATTTCTGAGACCGGAAGTGCTTGGGGGTGATTGGGTTGCCAGCAATTAGCTCTGGGTTTCTTTGTCAAAAGCAAGGTGAGAACTTTGCCCTTGGCTAGGCCCCTCAAAAGGGTTTCCTTTTACAAACTACTGCTCCTGAGCTAATTAAAAATGGCATTCATGCCAAACAGAGAACTGTCCCAGGTCACACCTTATCTGCAACTTGAATCATCATGCCAGACTGTTCTGTTTATTGGATTTTAATTCAGAAATGCCTTCTTGGATCACAGTCTCTTCTTCTTTATCCCCTTCCCTTTAACAATTTTCTTCTCCTGAGCTTTTACTCCATTTTGATTTTAACCTTTCTCCAGAAGTTTTAATTACTAGATAATGACATTTGGGGAATAAAAGCAAAAGAAACAGTTTCAGCTTTCAGCAAGTTCACAGTCTAGTATGCAAAAAGAAGAAAGGAATCAGAAAATGACAAGACCATGCAGCAAGAAATTTGTTAGACTGTTGTTGTTATCATGTCTATTAGAGTGATCAAATATATGGTGATATTTAAGAAATTTATTACAGTAAAGCACACATTGCCAGCAATCCTAGACCAGTTATCTAAACCAAAGTAGTTCTGACTGCAATGAGCTAATTTAATTATTTCAATTTCTTTCTGAATATGGTCAACAGTATAAAAGTAAATGTTATTATCTAGACTTGGAGAAGAACTGGAAGCAGAGAAACCCAAAAGATAGATGGAAAATTAGGGAACATCGATTTAGACATTTTGTAAAACAGGAAGAATAACATGGTCACAGAAATAGAAAAGATATTTTTCCCAACTAGTGTTGATAGTCCAATAGAGGCTGGAGTATATGATTGTATAGTACCATCTACCTTTGCTAGTGATTCATATGTTTTCATAGGTAAAAAGATTTTCTCTACAAAAAACTCTTTATCAACTGACTCCATCCATCCTCTTTTCCTTGATAATAGTTGTACAGAGAAAAGTACGTGGTGGTAAACTTCGTTAGGTGTGTAACTATAGTGGATGGGTACATAAGCTACTATGGTCTGGTTCTTAACTGTTGACCGAAGGATTATGTGTGGAAGGCTTGGTTCCTACCTTGGCAACATTGGGCAGTGGTAGAAACAAACAGATGAGGCTATGTAGCCCATGCTCAGGTCCCCGGAGGACCCTGGAAGGACCTTGTGAGACCTTGCTGTCTTCCTCTCCTTTTCTATTTCCCGTTGTGAGATGAATGGTTTTTCTCCTACCTTAATGTGTCACCATGGGACCAAAACAGTGAGGCCAGTCTATCATGCATGCAAACCACCCAACCCATGGGCCAAAATAAACCTTTTTTCTTTATAAATTGATTATACCAGGTATTTGTTATACTAGCCAAAAGATAAATAACACATGTACCTTTTAGAGAACAATATTTTGTATGGATCACATTCTTTTATGAGTTCTGGAGCATTCTATATTTCTTGTTCAATGCAGGAGATTGAATTAAGGCTCTTGAGATCCATTTTGTACCTAAGTACCCAAAGTGATTGCATTCACTGTCCCCCTTATTTTATATAGCCACAGTTCATTTAACTGACATTGCTCACAAATGAGGTGTGCAACATAAATTAATTTCCCAGGTAGCTGAAGCTTACCTATTATACTACCAAAGTGATTCTGTTTCAGTGTGTTTGTTGGAAATCTTTTAAAATACACTATACACTTCCAGTTCTTCTTATACAAAGTACGTTGTGTAAAATTTATTCTGTTCCTTGATGATCTTCAATCATCTTTATGAACATCAGTGTTTATGTTGCACAATACAGTAAAGCCCCAAGGAACTATTCAGGTATAATTGTTTTCCTGTAGACCAAGACCATCCCATAGTTGGAATAATTATTTTGAAAAGATTCCAGCAAAGCAAATAACACTGTGTGCTGTGGGTCCACCTAGATGTGGCTGAAAATCTTAGCTCTCTCATGATGGACTGAGTTATTAGTTAGGTGAGTTCTTCACCACTTGTAAGTCTTTACTTTCCCCTGGCTCAAACAAGGATGATAAGAGGAGCAAATGCTGAATATGTCCTGGGGGTGAACCACTGTGTTACGTTGAAGCTTGACTAGCATGAGAAGCAGTATAAAGATAATCATCATTTAATGAGCTACTTACTTGACACCTGCTTGGAGTTATGAGCTGGTGGTCAGACTTACAACCCATATTCAAACTTATGATACAGGAACATGAGTAGTAGTGTGGCTTATGGTGTCTTCTTTTACAGTAAAATACTGTCATTCTTGCTGATTGTACTGTACTGTTTGGTTTTATGTTCTGTTTTGCATCAGAGTACTGCATGTAAGAGTTGTGTAAAGAAAGTAAAGTCCTCAAATTGGAGCTTCCTCTGACCATCTCCTTGTTCTGAATATTATAATGTGTGTACTATGTACAATTCCTCATTTAGCGACCGATTCATCTAATGACCTAGCTGCAGAAACATAACTTGGGTGTAAACAAGGTTAAAAAGGCAGACTCTGGTACCTGACCATTTCCTGTCTTTGTGATTTTAGGTAGATTACTTAACCTCTCCATGACTTGCTTTTTTCATTAGTAAAAGTTGAGCATAAAAACATGTTCCTCATGTAGTTACAGTGACAGCTAACATTCAAAACACCGAGATGAGTGCCTCAGTCCTAGACACACTGAGTGTAGAATTATGCAGATGATGGTCTCATTTAAGCCTCATAGCACTCCCAGGGGTCATTTAATATAATGATTTTTAAATCTAGAAGTGAAGAAACTCAGGCTTAGAGACCTTAGACAACTTGTCAGGTTCACACCACTAGCGAGCAAATGTTGAACCCAGACCAAGGATGCAACCACTGGACAAAACAACTGCACGTGCACTCCACAGTCTGGGGGATGCAGGGCACAGCCTACAGAGCCTTGTGAAGCAGCCCTGCCAGTAACACAGGCTGCCTCTCTAGCTCACACACCAGTATTTGAAGGGCAAGTGAAACACTACATACGGAGACGCCCGCTAGAGTTCAAATACAGGTTGAACGTGCCCTCAAGAGTTCCTGAATCAGGAGCTTGGTCCCTCGTGTAGCCATGCTGAGGAGTGGTGGAACTTTAAGAGACGGAAGATCACTGGGCATCGGCCATTGGGAGGTCAGTGGGTGCTGCCTACTGGAGGGATGCAGTGGTTCTCGTGGGATGCCAGTTCTCATGAGAGTGAGCTGTTATCAAAAGAGGGAGACCGGCTGTTGCTGTCCCTCTGGCTGCCTGTCTTATGGTCTCATACACTCCGTGCCACCATCCATCCGCTATGTTTGGAGGCCCTCTCCAGAGAGGACAGCATGCTCTTTGGACTCTCAGCCTCGAGAAGTAGGAGCTGGATAAACCCCACTCCCCTTAACTCCTACTGCAGTTGTGGTTTGATTTGCTCAGTACGTGGATCATCTTCTGGAGAGAGCAGTGCCGTTCACTTTGCCTAACACAGTTGCGAACGGGCTCACTCACATTCTCGGCACTTCCAGGTGTTAGAACAGTCCCATTTCCACGCTTTTCATCCAGTCTTGTACATTTGAAGACTTTGGACTCAAATTGCATTCAAGGTTCTCTCTTTTTTTAAAAAGCATAACTAGAACTGTCAGGATCTTCAGCTACTGGAAGTCTCCCTGTCCCCACTTCATCCTCTAGCCGCTGGCTTCTCTGTTAGGTTCAGACGGAGAGAAAGAAAGAGGTGGGCAAACCTTACCAACTGTTGGAACTGGCTACAGAAGCAGTGACCTGTTCATTGGTGAGCAGCCTCTCGTGCACGCTGGTCATGTACCTCTGTATGGACTGCAGGAGGGCCCTGGGCAGGTTTCCTGCTGATTCTCTGATCTAGAAGATCCAGGTCTAGTTTAGTATCTGTTCCCTGCACCCTTACTCAGCTCCTGCCTCTCTCCACAACATATTGCTTGTGGGTCCCTCTTGGGAGAGGTTCTTGCAAGATGAACCAAACCCCCTTGCTGCCTTTTATGCATAAGGACATCTTTATTGAGGATATATTTGCATAAAATCGTACATATTGGCAGACAAATAAATGATATTACATTCACTTGTGTAAGAGACTAAAAACAGTGGTTATGGAGGCAAGGTAGCAGCATGCAAACATGACCATGTTTATAAAATTCAACTGCAAAAGTAAAAAAAAATGCATGTAGGATATTTTTGCAGATATGAAAAATACATTAAAGGTAAAATACAAAAGTATGGTAACAGAGAAAGATGATATTAAAATTTATTTTAAACTGAATTTTCCAACTTTTTGTATTACTACTATAATAAAAATAAATATCTGTCCCTATATGAAAAGACAGTTTTGAAAATAATCTACTCTGAGGATTCAACCTCTGACATATGACAGAAACTATTAAAATTTTGTGCATTGAAAAGCCCGTGGTTGTCTAAAAGACAAGACACATAATGTTGGAGAAGGAGGGAGGGAGGGAGGGAGGGAGAGAGAGAGAGAAATATAAGTGTAGTTAATCCTAAGGAGAACCTAGCTACCTTCTGAGGTTTGCACTCGCCACAGCCTGAACAGTGCACGTGAGGATCCACAGTTCTCTGTTCTTTTAACCTTGTATTCTTTCTCTTTCCCCAGCTCATAGTGTTCTGGAGGTGAACCTGTGAGTGTGCTGATTACACAAGCAAGCAGCTGGGAAATAAAATGCTTTTCTCCCTGTCTTGCAGAAATTCTAGCATTACGAAGGTGATTTTCATGAAGATCCCACACCCAGTGGAGTTTGGATGGAGACTTCTGTTGCAAAAGAGAGGAGATCATCTTTCCCTGGACCCTGAACTTCTGAAAAAATCCATTCATTCTTTTGCCTTGCAATGGCAAGCAGAAACATCAAAACGACACCCAGGATTAGGAGGCAGATTTATTTACGGCGACGGGCACCGACAGGGAATCAATTGTCCCTCAACATGTCAGGCCCTGAAGGCTCAGGGAGGGAGGTTTTTATGGGGTTGCAAACAAAAAGCAGAGTATTTGGCTGACTTTGATTGGTTCTTACAACATCCATCATAGTGACCAGTTATGCATCACAGTGACCCGCCATTTCAAGGAGACAGTGGTGACAGGAACTGTAACAGGAACCTGGGCAACTAACAAGTTGGCTGGGAGAATTTTCTGCTACAGGCTTGCATCCTCATTGTGTCTGCCTGGCAGAGGTGATGGGCATCTGGCAGGTTAGAGAAGATTCTTTGACCTAATGGCCTACCATTAGGTCCTAAAGCTGTATCTGACTCTACTAGATATTTGCTTAGAATGCTAATAATTTGCATGTTTGGTGTATTTGTACCTCTGCAGTAGTTTCTGAAAATGGGACAAAAATCCTGTATGGCCATTCTGTTAAACTCTACTAAGCTGTAAACACGAGAGATCCGGGTCCATTATCCTGCTGTCCTCATTTTATATCTCTAATATTAAGGTAGTATTTGAAAAACTAGGTATTCAGTGAATGCGTATTGAATGAATGAAAGGCCAGATGTAATGCAAAGAAAAGCTGATCCTAAATTCTGTGATCCACATTAGATGGAGAAAATATAATCCTGGAAATATGTACCTGGAGAAATTGCTGTCATCATTTTCATGCTTTATAGCATCTAAAGTTCTTAAATTGGTCCCTCTGATACCATTGTGTTTATTGTGTGGATTTCTATACTCTTATATTTTGGTTTAATTTTCTACTTATTAGTTAAATAATTACCTTGTGAGAACTGTGGGAATATACTTAAAATATTACTGTTGTTTTACAGAGTTCTGCTGTAATGTAATGACTATGACTAGGATCTCAAATCTGTTTGGAATTATTAAAAGGCACAGTCTAACACATATTTTTACTTTTGTGCATTCTTTCCCAAATCACATTGCACTAATTCCTCTTGGGCCTAAGTGATTTTTTTCAGTTTTGTACTCATTCTAATATACCAGCTTCTTTTGCTGTGCTTTAAAATTTTCTTTCTGAAATCTTTGTTTTAAAGCAAAGCATTCAAGGTAAAATTTAAGTTCCAATTCAGTCTGTCAGATCAATATGAACAAAATTTAATGAAAATTACTGAATGTTGTGTTTTATAATTCCTTGGAAAATTCTAGACCTTTACCCCATGCCCAAGTGGAGTCCCTGAAGAAATCAGCCAAGAGTTATCTTTAGTTATATTAGTGGAATTTCTTGATAGGAAAAATCCTGAGATATTCTTACCAAGAACACAAACAAAAGTAGTCAAAGGGTTCTGTTCCAGTGTTTTAAAAATGTATGGAAGAGGAGAAATGGCATAAACCTCTTTCAGAGGTCATATTCTAAAAATTTCTAGGAGTTTACAGAGATTCCTAAAGAAATGACTTACATACTCAGCCAATTGCTTGGCTATTTCAGGTACTTATAGGAAGCCTTAGAAGGCATGTTACCAAGGAAACCTTTTCCTCACTGGCAAAAGATAATTGTCCATGCATAGCTGGGCTGTAATCTTGATATACTCCAATTTTATCTATTTTAGCACCAGAGGAGAAAACATTGTCAGAACCAGAAGCAGAAGGATAAAAGCAATTTTACCACCTCTAGTTGATTGTTAATATGGACAGCAATGCTCATTATAGTGATGATACTATTAATAAAATTATTATAAACATATATAAATCATTCTATCTTAGTCTACTGGGACCCCTATAAGTAAAGAACCATAGACTAGGTGGCCTGAAGAACGAACATTTATTTCTCACGGTTCTGGAGGCCATGTTATCCAGGATTCAAGCCCTAGCTGACTCCATGTTTGGTCAGGGTCCACTTCCTGCTTCAGAGAGGGCTGTGTTCTCATTGTGTCCTCAATGGTGCTATTGTCTGAAGTCCAAAGCCCTCATGTTCTAATGCCACTGCACTGCTAATTGGGCTTCCAAGTATGCACTGAAGGATATAAACGTTCAGTCTACAGCAAACCTGTCTGTAGTTTTATTTATTTTTTATTTTTTTATTTTTTTTCCGTTTTTCTCCGGTACCGGGAACCGAACTCACGACCTTGCGCTTGCCAGGCAGGTGCTTTTGCCACTGAGCTAAATCCCCAGCCCCTGTCTGTAGTTTTAAAAAACCGCCCTTGCTTAAACTGTATCTCTTGTGAGATATTATTGGCATCAATCTTGTCCTAGGATGAGGAAACTAAAGGCAGGAGTGCCAGGAGTTAAATAAGGGCCTGGAAGTTGTACTCAGCCTCCTTGATTCCAGAGAGTATTACCCTTATGTGTCACCTGCTTTTGTAGAAGAAAGCTAACTCCTGGTCTAGCTAGTGACAGGATACACAGGTAGGGTTAGTATGGATGAAAGGATCCACAGCTTCAGGACTTCTCAATAGCACAACCTGTTCCAGTGTCTTTGGAGAGGCCCTAACACATGTTATATTTTTATGTAAAATTTTGTAATGTTTTATAAAAGTGAGATTTTTCTTTGCAACCTGAAGTCAGTCTTCCAGTGCCTCTCACCTCTGTCTGATTTCCTCTTATATTGGGTTGGTCTCCAGTACGTGTGGACAGTTTTGGGATCTGATAGGGGCTATAGATTTGGGATAGAGTTGATTTAGTGAGGGTTATATGCTTTGCAGTCACTCCCCGCTATAGTTAAGTCACTTCTGGCCATGTAGACACACATATGTTCTTCAGGAATGTTATTTTATCCCACTGTGTTGACCCACTAAGTGTAGAGAAAACAGCACCGTATAACCAGTTGTTTCATAACATAAATTCATCTTACAGCCTTAGCTCCTAAAATACATGGGTCCAGGAAGGGAAAATAGTTAGAAATAATCATTCAGAAGCTACCTTGCCAAAAATTTGCTCAAGTATCAGATGAATAAGTTTTGAGTAGAGAAATGGGTTCTTGTGAACACTTCATCAAAATGGCTCTTTTCTTGATAGAGGCTTTTATAAATACAACAACACCTTAAACTTTTGCATATTGTCTCCAATGAAAAATTGTGAAATGGTCATTTAATATAGGTAATTGATACAAATGTTATCTTTCTTATTCTAAGTTATTGAAATTGCTACTTAAATCCATAATTTGTTGTGATTTATTTTTTCTTTTCCAATAAATAATTTTGGTTTTGATTTTTTTTGTCTTTTTATGAAATGGTCTCACTATGCAGCTCAGGCCAGCCTTGAGCTCACTTTGTAGCCCAGGCTGGTCTCAAACTTGCAATGATCTTCCTGCCTCAGCCTCTCAATTACAGGTTGCTGGGATTATAGACATGCACCACCATGCCTGGCCTTATTTCTGGTTTTGTATTTATAATTTATATGTTTTTAAATGAGGCATTTTCCTCTCCCAAATTAAGGCTTCATGAAGACTGCAGTCTCCACAGAGGGTGTCTACACCCAGCAAATATTTGTTAAATGAATCAACTCTTCTGGAATTAGTTTTCATATGGTGGTGACCTGGCACCCCGAAGTTCTGGCGCTTCTGGAGTTCTGAAGCTTAGGGGACTCCTTGTGGATTTTCCCTTCAAGATTGGAAGAGAGACTATATGAACACTGTGTTGACTTATCATAGATTTGTTCTGGTGCTGGCCCAAAGCTAAGCAAATGATTTGTCCCCTTTCTTCCAGCAAGGTAACTTCTTGCCTTGGCAGGTCAAACAGAACCTCAGGTTCTGTTTTCTGATCAAACAGAAAATGTAGGCTCCTCAATATGATACGGAATGACCGTAGTAGGCTGGGAGGGATCCTAGTGGAGATGATCTACTCTGGGAGAGAAACTGTTGGAGTCTTAAAGTTTGGATGTCACGGATGTTGGAAGACTGTTGAGAGTAACATTAACCAGCATATCATTCTCCCATAATCCACAGGTCTTGGAAGTGATGAGTTTTCCACAAGGCTGAATGGACTATAGCCCAAGACATCATACTTGAGATACTTTGTGGTAACTCCTGGAGTCCGAAGTTATTGGTGAGGGATAATGCAAGTCCACAAAGGGACACTGGGACAACTGAGCAACAGACGTCATGGGGGAATTATCTGGAACTGATGACCAGTGATCTTTTTTCTAATTCATGGGATTGTGTAATCATCTGTCTGCCCTACTGGATCCAAAAGGTCACATTCTTTTGTATATGACCGTAGGACAGTGATTTTCAGAGTGTGGTCCTCAGATTCATACAAATGATCAGTCGCATGCCAGGGCCATGGCTCTGAAACCCCAGGGAAGAGTGCTGTCGGGAAAATTGCCATATACCTCACATGGATCCCCAGTATTGTGCAGAAGGTGGGCAGAGGAAGGTGCGCCAGGCCTCGTGAGGGTGAGGAGCAGAATTGGGAAGCCAGAAGAGAAGGAAGTCATGATGCAGACCCTTTCTAGGTAAAGGATGTGTCAACTGTTTTGGCATAGCTCTACAAATCCACTGACTTGTTTTTCTGCTTCTTAAGCAGTTGGCAGAGGTTGGTTAATGAATCTGAAAGCAATTCTAGGAGGAAGATTTGATTTATTTCATATGAATTAGTTATGGCCAAGATGACAGGATCATAGCTCTAGAGAGGCCTCATGCTTTTGTGCTAAGTCGTTTCCCAGAAATGGATTAAGAACAAGATGGCCACTCCTCACCTACCCACGCAGAGAGCAGCAGCATCCTCAAGACATAAACTTCTTTATTTAATTTCTGGGGATTGAACCCTGGGCCTTGAGTGGCTAGATGAGCACTCTACCACTGAGCTACATCCTCATCCCTAGTCCTGAAGGACCAGGGACTGCTGATACTGAGAGCTGCGCATTCATAATTTTTATCAAATTCCTTGCCCAGGGCTTCATTCTTTTCTACTTTGACTCATATGGTATTGTGCTCATTTCCATATGCCTGGACATATGCAAATAAATTGAGTTGGACAGGAAAGCAAAATTTCTGTTGGAGTAAGAGGTAGTTGAACGTTTCACTTAACATACAGGGGTTTCATTACCTGTTTGAGATATAAATTGTGCTTCCCTCCAAAGCTCTAAAAGAGCAGCTCAGTAAATGAGCACTAACATCTCAGTTTGGGCTTTTTAATTAACCACCTTTCACTTTCATTATTGTAGTATCCAGATAATGTATGGTGCAATGAGCCTTCCTGGTTGCAAGGTGGGAAACCCTCCAGTAATTTAAGCAATATTGCAAATGAATTTAATTTTAACTCAGATTCTAGGTAACTAAGAATTATTTTTACTAGTATCTAAAAACAATTGTTCTACCTTTACTCTTTCTTTGGTTTCTTTGCTGTTACTAAACATGGTTATTTCAAACCTTAAGTATATATTTATTGTTTTTGTACATTATGCTGAATTCTCAGTGCCGTACAGTAAGCGGAAGTCTCCATTTGTAGTGGTTTCAACAGTCTAGAAGTGGAAACTATTTTTTTAAGAGCTAGATAATAAATATTTTAGGCATTATGAGCCCAAGATAGTCTCTGACATCTATTCTTCTTTCCCTTCTTCTCTTTGTCTCATTCTGCCTTGTTTTCTTTTTTTCCTTTTTCTTCTTTGTAACCCATTCTTAATTCATGATCCCAACAAAATGAGGGTGCAAGCTGGCTTTGGCCCCTGGCCTGTCGTTTTCTAACTCATGATTACAGTCCAAGAGAGAACTAGCAAGCACGTGGAATTTCCTCTTTCAATGGTTTTGTGAACCTTCAGTCACCCCCGTGTAATTAAGCCCTATGATCGGATTGTGGTGAAAGACAAAGGTAAGGAACACAGAGGCAGTGAAGAGCGGGGATATAGCTCAGTGGCAGAGAGAGCACTAACGTGCATGAGACCCTGGGTTCATTCTCAACTGAGGGAACTGAAGAGAGAGGGAAGGAAGGGAGAGCACACTAAAAATGATTTCAGGAAGGTATTTGTAAGTATGTGCTGTGCTAAATGCCAAGTATGCATGGTTTTTATTTAGTCCTTCATACCACACTAGTGGGTTTTATAAGTACTTTGTGGATCATACAACAGACATAAGTGTTGGGAGCAAAACTGTCTTTACCTCGGGTATCTAGGACAAGGCCACTGCTTCTCCTGAGTTTGGCAGGGCCCCGTAAGAAGTGTGCACAACCCAGGGAGCTGATGCACACAGTGACTTGAGCTTCGCTTGCAATAATACAGTTTTCTCTTGTCCCCAAGATGTCCTGTTCTGATAATAGATTAGATATTCTTCCTGTCCCGGATTCTTCCCTCCCTTTAAGCTCTATTGAACTTATTCATGTGCTGATTGTATAGATAAATGCACTGCAGGTGACAGTTCCTTTCTCCCATCAGGAGAGAGGGCTCCACCTGACCCTAGCTTTCTGTATGTTGATTTGTCTTTCTTCATCCCCTACCGTCCTCCCTCTGAAGTTTCAGGAGCTGCACTGGGTGTGGCAAGAAAGCAGTAACAATACAAAGTAACTCAAAATATTTGTTGTGAGCTTTGAGTTTTAATCTCAGTTTATGTGGCACAGAATACCCATCTTGTGATATACACTGCACTGTGACCGTCCATGGAATAGAACAAGGAACACTGTACACCTCACCAAAGATTTGTAAAAACCTTAAAAACTGCATTCTAAAGCCTTTTATGAAATGGCTAAGGTGTTAAAAGAATTTGACAGGTATTCATTAAACTCAATAAATTCAAGTCAATTTGAATTGCTTACAAATAACACATTTAGTGATAACATATTTTCCTCTTAATAACATATCATCCCTATGAAATATATATGATTTAAAAGGCTCCAAAGTTCTTACCCCAATAAACTGAAGTAATCCATTGCTGTGCACCATGTTCCCTTTCTGTATACTGTGCACTTATATTCCAAAAGTATTCATGAAATATTCAGGACAAATGTAGGACTATTTTTCTTCCCTTTGTCCCAGGATATCAGGTCTTCAGCAAGGGCCTGAAATGAACTTGCTGGGTTGATGGTACTGGCGTGGCAGAGAATGCTTTGGAATCATCTACAACCTGAAGCTAAT